TAGTGAATTACTAATTACTTCCGAACCCGCCAATCAGTGTGCACGAAAAGTACTATGTGTACTTATCTCGCTTGTTATTTATTAAATATCTATATTTATTACCTAACTCATATTAAAAGCGATAATTTTACAATCGTAGCTTACTTTCGGCCCCACCTAGCTGAGTAATAAATAGATAGTAATCGGTAGTTATTTGTAAGGCAGAAAACACCCAAATATGATGCGCCAATCTTCCAACACAATTGGGTGTCCACATATCGCAAGGAGATATATCTAGGATATTAAAGAAGCTAGCTTTGAATTGCCGAAAAAAACAATCATGAAGATTAGGAGTTTTTTCTGTTTGTAAGAAAACCCTTGCGAGGAAACACTTTTCTTTATTAAACAAAAATGGTCAAAACTCTGAGACTAGATCAGAGAATTCCAGAATTGAACCCAGCACTATTTTGATGTAAATTTTCGTAGAAAAAGTCAATTCGATTTTTAGTGTACCTTTGTGATCGGCCTCCTGGTTAGTAGAGGGTGATCTAAACTTGATTATTTTCTGTATTTTCAGTCTGGACGCGGGAATGTTTCCACTGCCTTGATAAAGCGTCAAGATGCAAACCAGGCACTAACATCTCGACGATTCTAGAATGTACTGATCCTACTAATCGATGTTTTTTGAGGAAGGTTACAGGTGAAACAAGAGAAGGGGACATGATAGAGCGAGGCTGTACCAATGAAGACGGCTGTGATATAATGATGAAAGCATGCGAAAACTCTGGTGATTGCAAAACTACATGCTGCCATCAAGACCTGTGCAACAGTGCCGTTACCAATGGCATTACGTCGAACACGTGCACATTCTTAGGTCTGCTGGTTATAATACTCATATTGAGGTGGGAGGTTTCTTGAATATATACTTCAGAAAAACAAGGATCGGAGGGCATCAATTAATTTCACGCTCGTCCGAGTTTTCTTTCCCACCTCATGTTTGTTTACAAGTCTTCAAGCTCTCCTGGAAGAAATTCCATGATTTTCTAGGATTCCGTCTGCGTAACTGTGTGTGTTATATCACTTCAGTTCATTATTTTTTCCCAGACTTTCTCTACCGCTGAATTGGTGCGGACTGGATACTAACATCGAGAAAAGTCTAATTTTGTTTATATCCCGTACGAGCGTTAGTGCATCTTTGTTAAAAATGCGGATGTAAATAAGCAGACACGACGCGTCAACGAAAAACTAATATTCCAAATTTTTTGACAGCGAGTCCACAACTCAAATTTGCAATAATTAACAACTACTCACCGGACTGGGGGTGGCTAGTGGTGGATATTCACCGAACCACGAAGCGTCGAGGCAAATACCCTCCGCTGGCCACCGACACTGAGGTGAATAGCTATTTTACTATCTTTGAAACAGTGAGAGAATATAACACTAAAAGATTATTTTAATCAATTTATTCCTGCAACGACTACAGTATTTTCGTGCGCGTTGCCCGGGGGTAAATTTTAAATGATATACTGATTTATGATAACATGACACCGACCCTCAGACTTAAATTTATGACCCAACTTTTCAGCTCGAGAATTTTTTAGAGATCAGTAGATACAAGGAGAAATAATTTACGTAAACTTAAGTTCCATAACTGTTCTTCGGGCTTATCTAATTTATTTATCCTTACTTTGCAATTTGAATAAAAGAATTTGAACGAACGAGCTCCATCTTAAACTTGTCAAGCAGTGAGTTGACAACGAAACACTTCCTACAGCTTTTGAGGCCCTCCCAAAAGAACCATATCTTTTGCAAAACTGCGAAACACATTGGGGGCACTTTACAACACTCCTCAAGAGTCGTGCATGTAAATGTTAAATGACTTTGTAGGAATTATAAGCTTGGAAAGTTATTACGTCTGTTACATATTGTAATACCGAAAAGGTGTTTTCATTATCCAGCTGTACTAAGCAGAGTACGAATAACGAGCTGACCGTGTACAAATATGACACGATATTGTACAGTTGGTTATTTTGTACCGTAAAAACCGGTCGGCTGTGCTTGCTACCCTCTCTAATTGCTCCGCTTTTCCAGCCTTATAAGAGATGCGCATGAAATAAAGCACTTGAAAAATAAATGACGTATTAGACATTTGAGTGTGAAGTATTGCTGAGTATTTTCAGCCGTTGTTTGTATTTCAACAAAAATCCGTAAAAATACTTAGCGATGCTACACACCAAAACATCAAATAAAATATACTTCATCAGTTAACTATAAAAAAAAATGCGTTTCTAAATTAACGTTAGATCGAGTGACTGGTTAAAATTTGATCGGTTCTTTCCTTTACAGGGCGCTTTTTTAGACACTGGAATTGAGGACGACCGTGCACATTAAACGCGCTTAAATCTCACTTGCATGACTCAAACGCTTTCTATGCCTCGAAAACTTGGACTTTAGCTATAGCTCCATTTTTTGGAGCAAATTGTGTGTGTCCTGGTCTTCTAAGCCAATGGGAACATGTGTTCCTCAAGACAATCACAAACAGACAGAAAAAAATAAAAGCAAACACTAAGCGTGAAACAACTCAGGTTGAGGGAAAAACCGCTGTGGATTATAGACTGGGTATTTTTATGAGGGGGGACAGAAAAACCGAAACTCCAACCTCACAAAAAAACTAAAGCCAAAATGTATGAGGCCTGCTCCTGACACCGGCTCCTGTGATAACACTATGCCAGTTTCTAACAGGAAGACTTTTACCCGTTCTTCCATGCAGGGTTCAAATTTTTTTAAACTATGTGAAGCCGGACGACCGCTGTGAAATTATTCAGGAATTGTAAAAGTCGGTGACTGCACCTGTTTGCGGAGAATACGCGTTAATTATATCACGCTGAGAAGTTTTGGAAAAAATAATCTGAGAGGAAACGTAGCTCTTCGTACAACTGGTGTCGCATCATCGACGACAGCTAAATTTTAAGAGGGTCTCACGAAAAGAAATTGATGGCAAATATGCTTGCATCGTTATGCGTCGTGCTTTTATCCATCAAAGGTAAGTAGGTTGTGCTGAAGTATAAACGATATAACTGCTGAAGACAAGTCGAGTTAAGTTTCAAGACTGTTATGGTGAAAGAATTGTACGTTTGACGTAATTTCAAGATTGCTCAGACTTAAATTAATTCCCGCATTTCTACGGAGGCATTTTAGAACTGGTCGATGTAAAAACAGGTTTGAAATGACATGATCCTTAAAATAAGATTTGCTAGACACTGACGCATATCAAACACTAGACGAATTCACGATTATTTCAAATTGTTGAACATCATTTTAGTCCTGGCTGTTTTCAATTAGTAAAGCAAACTATTTGGAATTGGAACTGATAAAAAAATTAGAATTTGAAAATAACGCATGAATAAAAATTCTGCCAATGTTTTTGTTATCCATTGTTTTGTTTCTTTTCTTTTGCAAAGAATCATTTTTCTCAATGATTTACTCATTTAAAGTCTTAAAACAGCCGCGGTTTAATTTGGGATGAAGTAACTCTGTGTTCTATTTAAGGAACATTTTCATGGCTACACTGAGCTTAACTTCATGGGTTCTCACCTTACATTTAGGTGAACCGAATTCCCAAGGCCATCTCCGCTTTTCGAAAAGAGGAGACCCTGGGAACGAGACTGTGTGTTTGGTCACTGTATAGCTCACTGTCTTAGTTTTTGCTTTTTTGCTTGTTACTCTGGGCTGAAGGGGTTGTAATGAGGATAACTCTAGTCCCAGGTTAATTTCATATAAATGCCTTATGACAGAATATGAAAGTACTCTCGATTAACCCTCATCATGCTTAAAACAACTCGGCTCTGCATGTTTACTCAGTGGACGTTGGTTAGAGCTGAATGCCAACGTTCTTTGTTAAGGTGTGAGACAAAATCGTCGAGCAATCAAAAATGCGATACACATTAGGTTACCGCCCTGTTTACTCATTTTGATTCCATCGCAATTCACCCATCAGTAATTTTTTCCTTACCTTTCTCTAAATCTTCATTTAAACTATCTCCCTTAAGCGCCATTGATGTTTTATTGTAGAACTGTCAGGTATCAAGTGTTTTACATGCGATGAAGGCAGTGATTGTCGAAAACAAATGGGAGAAGAGAAATGCCCTGTGGAACCACTACTGAAGGACAGGTGCATTGAGATAATGAACCATGAGAATGGACAGGTATTTGAGAGGAGTTACTTTGAATTAAAAGCAATGTTATCATTAATATCATATTAAGGAGTGTTTGTTTAATTCTAGAGTTTGTCTGCCAAGTCATAAGAATTCGAATCCATTTGGCAATGCTTGATTCAAAGTAAATACAAAACATCATATGCTATCGTAACTATTTTTGATCAAATGAAGAATTACTGCCCTAGCGATAAAGGAAACAAAATCCTCCCTTCTCCCATTTTGCGCGTTAATCAGGAGTGAAAGCATGCGCATGATGCGAGATAAGAAATTATTCTGGCAGGTGAGCGGCAATCAATCAAATTTCTTTAAGTGCAGGTCATAGGCGAGGATCATTTATTTCCCTGTACACAATCCGCAAGTCAAAAAATTGTTTGTTTCATTCAACTGTGGTGCGCAAAATGACCAAAGTTTTGGGTACATTGGATCTAGAACTCCATTTGAATATGATCTAATTGCCTGAAAGGAATATGATCGATGTCGCAATTCATTCCAGGTCGCCAAAGGATGCGCCAACATCAGAATGTGTCAGAAAGCAGAGAAAAATTGCAAAGAGGCCAAAGAAAGAAGGACTGGGGATTGTGACGTCACTTGTTGTACAGCTGACCTGTGTAATGCCGGCTCAAAAGGATCCTCATCTCATTGGCTTCACGCACTCTGCTTTCTCTTCTGTGTGTTGTTCTTAAACCTCCTCAAAACTGATATGATAAGCAACGAATAGAAAATCAACGATCAGAATAGCTTATAAACAAGACAATGTTCTCCCTAGTATTAAGGAAACAATAAATTAAATAGTAAAAGAAGATGTACCCATAAGAAGATTGCCCCATAATTGAAATTTATTAATGGCTGCAAATTTGCTAAAATTGCTTTTTAAGAAAAGCGCGTTCAGCAGTTTCTCGAACTTCACAAGCCTGGTACAATCATGTATATTCAATAGCTAAGAAACATCTCGACTGCTTATGACATGTTACGGTCAACAACATTTGACCTTCAGCTATAGATAGGTTTCTTTCCAGAAGACATCCTTTGTTTTAACAGAAGAACTGACGTTTCCGCGCCAGGCATCCAAGCCATTGTAAGTCCCTGAAACTAGAAATGAGCTAAGACTGATCGTTTTTCTAGTTACGTATTCATAGATCTATAGCTTATGTCCACTCGAGCACTTGTGATTTCTCCAGTTCGCTTACGGATTCTTTCTCTGAGGCACCTTTGTCTTTCTCTTTGATTTGCAATAGGCAAAAGCTTTGTCTGGAGACTAACCATTTTCAAAACTGTAAAACTTTTGTCTGACCAAGAGTCATTTGTTATCGAATCTCTGACTTTTATTCGATGGCGCTCCCTTGCAAGTAAACGGAGAATTGCCGACTACGAGAGACGATGACTTCCTTTAGTGAGCAAGCGCAATCTGTCTCGTGAAATTTACTCTCAAAAGTCGCACAAACAATATTTGTGCTCTTGTGAATAAATACAATCGACGTGCACCTAGGAATGGCCATTTCCTATTTCAGATTCTCTTAACAAGGGAAAGTTGATCAAGAACACAGCAGCAAATGATAGAACAATGATCCCTTGAAGATAGCCCCTCAGACTTTTGCCTGCGTTGCATAAGTTTCCATGACAACACTGATGTAAGCAGTTAAGATGGCCGTCGCAGTAGAGGTCAGGGTTGGCACAGTCACTGTCTGAAGAGCAATCCTTTGTAAACGTCTTTGTCACTATCTCAGATTTGTTCGAATTTTCTCCCCAGCTGTGAGTTTCTTCCTTAGTTATGGCATTGCAATGTTCAAACTTATAAGGACATATCTTCTTGATGATGTTTTTGTTACAATGCGCCCAAGATGTATTACTTCGACATGAAAAGCACGTTGACCCTGTAATTTAACAATACGAGGTTGGGTCTCTTTAAAAAAAAAGAGGCTTTCAATTTTTACCTAACGAACTGCGTATTTGTTTAAAGTTAGTACCTTTTACATGGCCATAAAGATGTGGTTGTACTGAAGGCTGAGTAGCTAGACATACCAAATAAACGCACACTTAGCTTTTATAGACATCGTTATTTATTCAGACACGTCACTTTAGAAACTCTTTTATCAAGAATGTACAACATCTACCTGTCACGAACCTCTCGTTGCTAGGATAGGAGGCAACTGCCATGGTGATCACTGTAATACACGAATTGAGAAGGCAAGTTTCTAAAGAAACTGTTGTGCTACGTCGGTGGGGGAGTGTAACAAGATAATTTGCTTTTATCAACTGAGTTGATGATGCAAATTGGCCACCATAAAGAGTTTCTCAACTGACGTTTCGAGTGTTAGCCCTTAGTCAGAGCGAATGGTGATAAAAATATGGCTTACACACATAAGTATGTGTTATGTTTATTGTGACCGATTGTAAGCAATTTTCAATCATTTTGATAGTCTATTCTGTTATTTGTCAAAAGAAAAAGAAACCATCAGTATATCGCGAAGGTTAAACTGACCTGCGCAATAACCCCAGCCCGATCCGCTCAGATTCCTGTCAAATTCATTCTCTGTTGCACACCAGTATTCACCATTTGGATCATTATCAGTGGCTGCGCAGCTGATGTAGTCTTTACCAAGATATTTAAACGGGAATTTGCAACATTCTCCATCTGTAGTCTTTACAAGACACTGCGATTTCCTCACTGCGTGAAGAGAAGACAAGTGAGGTCAGTAAAACTTACTCCTCTGAGAATACCTTCTTGAGATCTAGGTTAACTGGATCGATGAGATTTAAAGGAAGCTTACATTTGCAGTAGCCCCAACTGGTAGTTTCGTTACTGCGATGTCTAACGTCTTCAGTGGCGCACCAAAAGCGGCCCTCGGCGTCCCCATTATTCGTGCATTTCTTGTATTTTACTCCTTTGTAGCGGAATGGAAATCGACAGCAGTGATAATCAACCGTTCTCTGGATACAGGCCGTATTTCTCTCTGCGACAACACTTTCTGAAACGAGTACAAAAGAATAAATGAATATGCACCTTGGGAAAAAAGACAAAACTGCGCAGTCAGATGCACAGTATGCCCGGTAAAACTGCTCTCGGCCTAAGTCAGGGACGGTTTTGAGTGAAAGGAGATGTATAATATTCAGCAGCGGAGGAAGGAAAGATGCCAATGTTGCGGAATTCACTCAAGATACAGTGAAGCAGTGCTTCCCTCCTTTATGAGGGACCTTAGGCAGTCAGGACGGCAACGTCAAAAAAGACGTCGATTAAAAAATAAATTCGTATTTTAAGTTAGAATTTCGCGAATGGCTGAATGTCTTTACCATCTCTTACGGCGCCAAACCTCAACTTTTACATAACGGATGTGAGCAGCGTTTGGTTCCCAAAGGAGACTTAAATAATTTGCCGTCGGGGTTTCGGGGGGTTTCTTGATCCCATGTTGTTGTTTTGCACCGAGAGTAAGAATGTAGAAAGATTTGAAAACTCACGTGCTGAGCTCAAGTTGTTCTGCCCATTAATAGGTTTTTTGTTTTTGCCACGTCCTCGTTGCCGTCGCTGTCGTGGTTTGCTATTAAAAGACCCCTTTTATCCGCGATATGCTTAGATGTAGGCTTTTCCTTGATTCGAACGGCGTGATTGCAAGGCACATAGAGACATTTTGCCGAAACTTTTTGAAAAGAGTTCACTTTCGTACTAGAGTCTACTTTCTTACCAGATTTTTACTGAACTATTAATGGAGCTAAACATGTTCTTGGCTTGCTTAGTGCACAACAGGGAGTTTTAATATATTCAAATATGACACAAGACATTTCACCGCAATCTTTGCGTGACCATCGTAACCAACATGACCTATACATATCTACACGTGAGGATCAATGTATCGAAATTAAGACAGCATAACCCACAAACTGACGAGTTTACTTGCAGTTCTGATATCACTTACTATCACATTATGCAGGAATATTGCGGCATCCGATATTTCTCAAACTGAAGCAATTGGAAATCGACTTTCCACTGAAGCCATCAAAATATATAAATAGACAAGAAAACGATTTTAACTGGCTTTCGCAAATATCGACACCTGCTGTTTTATGAATATTTAATCTGACGGGCAACCTACCGTTTTAAAGTTTAACTTTGATAAAAGGGATCTAATTCGCACCCCGTCGGGTCTTTCATTGAGATTAATCCCCTGAAACAAGAAAGCCCATCTTTTCCTGATTTTTTTCCGTACCACTTCACTGACCCGAAGTTAATAAGCAACTCCACAAACACATTCACATGGCTTATTCACTCTTGAGCAATTCCTAAATTTCTGAATTAAACATGACCATGCCATGGTGAATTAGTTTTTCCTGTTAAATTTGACGTCTTTTAGCTTTATTTCAGGTAAATCGATCAGCAAGACTCTCTCTAAACTATGAATGAGTCAGGATATATTACAACCACGATATCTCCATTTCAAACAGTTCCTACGTATGTTATAAACAAGCCGCATCTTTAGCATGCAAGCTCTTGGCAATTAACCCTTCGGCGTGTTATTCCCCCATCAGAAGTTAACTATATTTGTCCTTCTGTGTAAGAACTGGTCTCAATTCATCGAAGTTAAAAGTTTGAACAACTTCCGTCGAAACTGCTTTCTACGAAACGTGTTGAAATAACTCGCAGCTAATGGATGACGAAAGAACTAAAAATTTGGCGTTCAGTCAAGAAAAACATATTTTTCTTCGATAGCTTGCAGAAGTATTCTTCCTTACCTGTGAAAACATAAGTCAGTACTGCGACAAACAAACGCGTTGCTCTCGCTTTCATCATAAGCTATCTCCACGGTGAATCGTCAATGGCCATCTGGTAGTGTCGAGGTTATCGTGGCTCAAAGATGCATTTTTGTCGCCTTGAATGTGATTGGTCATTAATGTTTCAACTCACTCAAGCATGCTAATCATCGACAGTCGAAAGTTATCAATAACTCAGAGCTCTTATAACTAAGCTGATGTTATTTCAGACCAACATGAAATAGTTGATCACGGAATCAAAATTAGAAAGGTTATCACTGCGACACAGGCCATTAGATTAGTCATGGCTGAATGCCTTCAGCTTTGTTTAAAAAAACGTTTTGAGTGCATTTAGGGGTAATATTGCCCACGGCACATAATAATGACGATGAGCTTTACATTTATCCCTAAAAATTATCTCCTTCAATTTCCTAATTCCTTTTTCATTTATTTTGAAATTCCAATCATGTTTTCCTGAAGTTTAAAATTGACAGAACAGCCAAGGATTCATTTCCCTTTTTTAATAATTTTTAATTTAACAATTCTGGTAGTGCCGCGATTGTACCCTCTACTCGAAGTCAAAACATGAAAGGAAAAGTTTACTCATTCTTAAAATAGTGAGAAACTTAACTTTTATTGATACTCGGCTAAAAGAGTTAAAAGTGAAGAAAGCTCCAAAGGGATAAATCAAACAAACAAACAAACAGACAAGAAACAAGCGATTCCAAACGAATCAAAAACAACGTAAAAAGAATCAAAAATCGCCTTTTGTATTCAGTCAGTGTTTTCTGGTCGGCGAAAGTTCATCAAGCGTTCTCATAATGATTTTACTGCCGCTTAATGAGGACATTATTTGACAAAGATAGATTCCTTGTAAGAGGGCGTTTAAAAATTAATTTGCACCAGCTAGCACAGGCCATTCAATTTTCCGAAACATTTGCCATTTAAAAACAGCCGAACATCGAGGATGTCACTACGAATATGTCGAGTTTTCCCTGGCGTGATAATGTTCCTCATAGCACTGTCACCATTATGTAAGTAAACATAGAATTTTCCATCATTCAATCCTCATCTGAATGTTGGACAAGATCCACTCAAACCGACCGATTAGGGATTGTTGCAAGTCCAAGTTTTGTTTAGCACTTTTGTATTTTAGAAGCGGAACGGCTTGAACTTTCAGAGCATTGCATCGAATCTCTGGTTTACAAACCAAATTAAAAGGAAAAAAAGATGGGGAGATAAAAGGCGTTGATGTCCGTACTGCATTCCATGTCAATTTTTGTTGGTTTCAAATGGTTTTATTTTGCATGAAATCGCATAAACCCAGGCTCGAGTGTAAGGGGTTTTTCTAAAATCATCTCAAAGCATGACGAGTCACATAACTCACGTTATCAGGTTCTTATCAGGTTATTCACATGCAGCTCATGAATCTTTTTCTTAAAATCTCGACAAGATCATTTTTAATCCTTCTTCACGTGTTAAGGACTCATTACTCGAAACAATTTTCTTTGGCCAAGTTAAAGTTTCGAGTATTTTCAAAATGGCCGAGGAAAGCATCATTTCCCCTTATCTTAAAGAAATTAAGCAATTTTATTCATTTTAAAGCTAAGATTCGGAGAGAGTACACTTGAAACAGAAATCACGCACTGCACCGTATAACCTATTTATACATCAAAAACGGCATAAGTTTTGGACTTTCAAAAAAACAAGTGATTGTACTGGATTCCATCACGCCGGCCTACTTTTTCTCGTAACTAACATGAATGCAATTGCTATTGTGTACGGATTGAATTAAGATGTGCAGTACATGCACCGTTAGTGACTGACTGACTGACGGACTGATGGACCGAGAGATTGACGGACCGAAGGACTGACGGATGGACTGACAGAGTGACTAACTGACTGACTGACTGACCGACCGACTGATTGACTGAATGAGGAAGAACGGAGACTAAACGACCTGATTAATCGGCTGGTTGGCTAGTCGATGTGTTTATTAGTTTGCCATTTGTTATTTTTCGTCGGTCTTTTAGGCTCTTCGCACTTGTGCTATTCTTGTCCAAAGGCATCATCCATGGAAGAATGCAATGCCCAGATGACCCAGTATAACTGCTCCAAATTGGGTGCCTATCACAAAAAGTGTGCGCGCTTTTGTGATTGGAAAAATGGTGTCTATACACGAGAATGCGCAATGGAACACAAGTGCACGGTAATTCAGAGGGAATGTAAAGAAAGAGAGGACATGAAGAATAGCAAACAGAAAGAGCCTGAGTGCGAGTACAAGTGTTGTGATGGGGAGCTGTGCAATACTGACCCCTGTAGTGTGGGGCAGAGTCTTCGTCTACTACTGAGAAGCATTGTGGGACTCTCAACCGTCTATTTCATTTTTATAATCTGTTTCGATTAGTTTGAAAGAAGTAATAAAGTTATACTGAATCATTTTCCCGGTAAAAATTTATGATTCCCTTTACTGGAACAAAAGTGCTCGAATTCTATACACCGGTCGTCAAATGAGGAAAATTTGAGACATTCATGATCAGAGCTCGAGGTTTTTCGCACGTCTTTAAATCGTGACACTTACATTCCTAACCTGAGAAAGGTTCTCCCTATGGGATGATCTGCACATCAAGCATAGTCCATTTTCCTAAGCCCCTAGGAACAGAGATTTAAGCGGGGGGAGGGTTAGAGGGGGGAAATCACACCCAGTCTAGAGAGCGTCAGTTCTCAAAAGTTAACTTCCAATGGAGACCCCCCTGCAAATTCCCTCCATTAACCGAAGTCATACCCAAGCGGGAAGCCATAATGGGAAAGATAAATAGAACTGATTAAAAAGCAGCAGGAAAGGAATGGTAAAGTTGTTTCAGTCAGCACAGTGAGAGCTAATTTTTGTGGTTATTCGCTCCAAGGCCCCTAATTCACTGACCAACACTGCAGTATTGCTCTCAGAGGTGCAAGAGAAGTAATAATAAAATGACAGACAAAAAGCTGTTTAATAAAACTATTAATTGCTGTTTATTGAATACTTGAGATTACACACAACCATCTACACCTAAACATACCATACATTCTTCCTGGAGGAATTCATTGAGAATACAGACATGTAATTTTGTTCGCACTCAAGTTAAGGGCGAAAAAAAATTCCTTAGGGGAGACACACATCCCAAATCCCAAAAAAAAACTCCTAATTTCCACACTTTTCAGTCACCTCTATTATTTCACCAGAACTTTTACTGCACTTCCTTTATCAGGCAAAACAATTTTGCCTGCATGAAAAGATACACACACTAAAAGAAATAAATGCAACCTATGATCTGTGAACAAAATTCAAGTGCATAATAAATCAAAGCAAATACCATAAAGATCGGAAGTGTCAAGGAAACAGGTGTGTATTACTCAGAAGAGATATGAATTGCATTTAGGGGAAGGTTGCTAAACATCAGCTATATCATGTTTAAGAGTTGAAGACACGGTTTTTAATTTCCTTACTCACTTGATTTGGGTTCCTGTTTAATTCTTCACAACAGTTGAATCTTATATTTTGTATCAACTACACCTACTAAAACTAACAAGACCACTGATTTCATACAAAATGTTTCACTACCTTGTCTTTTTGCATGTTGAAGAAAAGAGATTCCCTAGCTCTGTATCCAAATTATAGGATAAAAATAAAGAACACAGATAGGGATGTAGAATTTGCAGTAAAACATGAACATTTTCAAGTGGTTTTACTTTGCACATCTCTAATATATTGAGTGTACAAACTTTCAAGGCTAAAATTGCTCAAAGGAGCTATTTTTTGCAATTTTCTGTCCTAGCAAGAGAACATCAACAAGAAGATAAACATAATGTTTTAAAATATAGAAACAAAACTTCTTCTGTAGACACAGGCCAGCCAGTCTTAATTGTCTTAATGAAGAAAGATGAAAAAAATGGAGTGTCCACTCAAAAATAAAAAATGACATGACAGAAAACCCTAGCCTTCTGCAACCAATCGGGCTTTGTTCCAGGCATTTCTGATGATCTGTTCCACTTGTGCTGCCTCTGGGTGACGCAGCACATGAGGATGGAATGCACCTGGGTTGGGAGGCTCACCCTCTTTCTGCGCAGCACTGGAGTCATGGTCATCAACGTACATCTCCAGCTCGGACGCAGTACAGCAGCACAAGCATTTGCGAGTTTCCTTCAACTCCAGATCCTTGAAGAATCGATAGTCCATGTACTCTGTTCGAACTGAAAGCACAGTTTACATGAAAATCACATTCCCTGTCTAAGTAAACTTGAAACCATTCAATAATACAACAATTTCACTAAAATTTTTCATGGCCCAAACCAAATAAAAAAGTATGAGCGATGCATGTTGATAGATCTTTAATGACCACATATGGCTACTTTCTGCTATCATGTAAATAAACATTGTTGCTAATTAAATAATAGTTAGAGATGTCTCAAAATTCTTCTTACAAGTGTAAGACTGTCAAGCACTTGTCTATTGAGAATCACAAAGCTCAATTACACAAGGTGGGGAGGTGGATACTAACGATGATAAAATTGTCTAGCACCCAAGGGATAATTAATAGTGATCAGGAGAATTGCTTCTCGGATTTTGGGAAAGAAAAGTCTAACCCTTTACACTCTAACAGCAAAATGCATATTCTCCATACTGTTCTCTATACATATCCCAAGGCGCTGACAAGGAGAATTTGTCTAATTAACAATCAAGAACTTTTTAAGTTGGTGATCATTTCCTTTATTCTCCCAACCTATATATTTGATTCAGTGGTGTTCTTGTAAGGAGAAATTAGTTGAAAGAACACAAGGCACTCAGCCAATTAGTTCAACACGAGGAGCTTTTGTTACTTAGGGTCAAAAGAAAAGCATTTTCTCAAAAAGAACTCTGAAAAAACATATATGTGAAATGAATATATATTCTTACAAAAAAAAAATTGTTTTCTAACCTTCCATCCACAGTCCACAGGGTGGTTCGCGCTTGTAGAATACACCTTGTCCTGTGACACGCCAGAAAGTCTTGGCCAAACAACATGGACAGCAATACGCCACACAACATTCTCCACAGTCTTCTTTGTACCGAATTCCAGGAGCTGGTGTAACTCCAGACCACTTGGAAGCACTGAGTTCGGCTTCCTTCTTTTTCCTCTTCAATAAACCAATCAGATCCATCAGATAAAGTCTGTCTCCCAGAACAGTGATGCCAAGCTCATGCAGATGACCCTGGAGAGAGTAAAAAATTAATTACAATTCCATAAGTTTTTAAGGTCCAGCTATGAGAGATTTACAGCCAATTAAAAATGAAAAATGTAGATTTACTTCACTTCACAGTGGCACATGTGGGAGAAATGCAGTCATATTTTCACACCAAAAAGAATTTAACAAGCCAGCTTTTGCCCAGGCTAGAAAATCAACACACCCTCAAAAAACCCCTCTGAGCAAAGACAGTAACCAAACATAGACAAAAGCCACCTATGAAGCAAGAGTTTGGAATTAAATACAGACTGCGACCAAGGAAGGGTAATGCTTGCACCACTGCACCAACAATGCACTCCACTACAATTCATGAATGGTATTACATACATGTATGACCTATTCTGACATTCAATTTCATTCAACTCTGAAGTTGCTCACAATTTGACCATAAATAAATAGATGGAATAAATCAAAGCATCAGCTTGTACTACTTTCCCATTGAGAGAATAACTCTATTCTTAACCCTTTCACTTTAGGAGTGACCAAGACATAACTTCTCCTTACAGTATCAATACAACATCAAGCAGCCAAGTGATGAGAATAACAAAATTTTAATTAGTAACTAGGGAATTATCTTTAGATTCTACATCAAATTCTCAAAGCAAACTCTATAAGAAATGTTTGGCAGACAGTAAAGATAATTTCAGTGAAAGGGTTAAGAACTAATCAAACAATAACTAATTCAAAATTTTGCGAAATTTTGATCATCGAAACCCATATTTGTCCCTGGCATGTCCCAAATATCATTCAAACCCACCTCTGTCAAAAGCATCAGACATTTTCCAGTGATCTTGTTCACTGAGAACTGCTCTGCCATATAACCCAATCCAGCACGTTCAAGAAAATTCCTGTTCACATCCTCTACAGACCAAGCTGTTGACAAAATTGACAAGCAACACCAAATTAGTGTTGATCATCATATTATAAGCTATTGATTTCAATTTCATTTCAGTTTGTCTTCTATAATACATGCAAGTACACCTGCAATGGGAGAGAAAGCACAAAATATTTAGTAAAAAAAACTGAGGAAAAACTGATAACTAGGAAAACAATTTTGAAGATAACAGAGGAGTTTCAAATTCATGATTAAATTATGAATCAAAATTTAAAAAATTATTGAATGGGGCTTTAGTCCTGCTGTAAAATTTTCAAAAAAGCCTGGATAGATAACTCCATGCAGTAAATGATCTTCACATTTCTTGTAAAAAGTTGCATATCTAAGAAATGAATTTTGTTTTCTGCACAAAAGCAGAATCATTTCTACATAGAAAATTTTCCTTGTGGAAATGATTCTGTTTTCATGCAGAGAAAATATTCAAATATAACCAGAGGATTTATAAATTATCTTGTACTTAAACTGAATAATATCTTTAAAGGTCGATTATTGCTTTAATTGCTAGGTGTTTCATGATTTAATCATGATGCATATATGTCCCAATGGTCTGTCACCTAGCAATTTTTAAACAAATTTTGTATGTGGTCTGCTATCCATAGGAACAGCCTTAAAATTCCAAGTTGCAGAATTGCTATTAGTAAGTGTACCTTCTATTATTGTGGTGCAAAAATATGAAACAGCCTGGACATGAACTTGGAACAAGTAAATGGCACCAAAGCTTTTAAGAAACATTTAATTACTGAATTAATGAGCAATATAGGACAAGTTTGGACATATCATTGTAAATAGCTAATTTCTGATATTTTTCTGTGATTTATTTATTTATTTTCTGTATTTTGATGTTGATGCTGAAAATCCCTCTTCAGGGATACTCAGTAAAAGTGTTCATATGTATTTATCCCATTAAAGATCTCCTAATGCAGGCTTCTGTAGCCAATTCCAATATAATTGTTGGAAAGAAAGCATGAACAGCATCTAATCAATTTATCCTGAAAAATGTTACATGAAAGAAAATTTAATTTCTAAAGAAGAAACATACAATACATAATTATCCAAAATATTTCACAATTGTGCAACAGATCTCATCATTCCTTGATGTGCCCCTTCAAGAATGTCACGAGTGGCACAAGTGATCGCATCTGAGTAAAAAGTACTTTAAAAATTCAATCCTCGTTCAAGAGGGATGAGTTACAGTTCCTAGGTACTCAATTATTATTGTACTTGAAGAAATTTTGGTATCACCCAGAAAGCTGCTCTCAATACTTGGCGAGCTCGTCGAAATTAAACAGTAATATTGAAAACATAATTTTTAACCTGTTGCTCATTTTTGTCTGTTTTTGTTCGTTATCTTTACATGGATACTGGTTCTCAAGTCAATCTAAAATACGAACTTATAGGGTCCTCTATGTATTAGGATCTCTACCTACAATAAGATCGTGAAACCTGAACTGTGCGATAAATTTCAAGATTGAACCTTGTTCTAGATGTCACATAAAAAGAAGCTTTCATTTTGATTTCACTTCACTCAGTAACCACAGTGCGAATTTATTTCGATGGCAGAAATAGCGCGGACACAACAATAGAATACTTAATCTTACGTTGAGCATGCTTCTGTTTGATCTCCAACAAACAACGCGAAGCAAAACTGTCGGACGCCAGAAGGCAATTGAAATGCAAATTCTTATTTCCAGTATGAGGAAAACTGCCCTGACTTTTTGGGAAGGATTTTTGGGTCGATTAATTTAGAATGAAAGTGTGAAAAACTGGCTTCGTAACGCTCAATAAGATCGACCTTTGATTAGGGTTTGAATCGCCTAATGCTGTCAGGGACAAAGAGAAATACGATCAGAAATACAGCTACAACAGCGAGCGACAAATTTTTGCTAGAAGTCATTCTTGAAATTTAAAAATAAATTGAGTTGAACACATCGTGAGAATTTCAGATTGGAATTTGAAAGAAGAGGTTCGAATACCGAGTACTGTTGAACAACGCCCATAACAGCGAAACAATCAACAGCTCAAGGAAATAGCTTTTGAAAGAGAATAAACAGCGACATCAAAATCCCTGTATTGTTTTTGATGTAAGGATCGCGGTCTCTCAAACATTTTAAACTAACTATTATTCACATGGTAAGTATAGATAGCGAAAGAAATACGTGTGAAACCCAGGCATGTCATGGCGTGCGGTATTCGATCGAGAAACGCCGATGCCATAATTGCGATTTGTGATTGTTTGGAGATGTTTGTATCACGTAAAATCATACCACCAGAATTAAACCTTACTTGCTACTGTGGCCGGATCCAGGTTGAGAACATATTCTTCCGTGGGGGAAAGTTTGGCTGGCTGGTTGACAATCGGTTTTTCACTCGCCATCACTGGTGGAGTACCTCCGTCTTTCCCGGGCAGAGATTCGTATTGTTGTTTATTGAAAGCCATCTTGGTTAATAATTCATGCACAAGTGTGCACGCCCTATTTATACCCCGTCACGCCATTGACAGTTGCTCGAAGTTTCTGAGCCACAAGTTGTTTTGTTCTTCAAATATTTGACGATGCATAAACTTACCTCGATTTCTGAACTAATTATAATCCTAACGACAAGTTTTTCTTTACACATTTTTGCCACATTTGACTTCAGAAGGGCTGTCACGCTGTCGTTTTGCATAGTAATCCAAGGAAAGAAGCACTCTAAGCATTGACGAATGCTAAGAAGCTTTATATCTTCCCAAAATGTTTTCACTGACCCTTTTATTTGGTCAAGTCACCGATATTAGCTTTTGAAAGTGCGGGCACTACTTTCTGAGAACTGGGGCGTTTCCAAGGAACACATTAGAAGGGTGGGGAGGGTATTCTGAAGACTTCATCATATAAGTATAAGAGGGTGGTTACTAGGTGGGCTATCCTGCCCTCCACGAATTGTCACTTAAAAAAAAAAGGAAACTCGGAAAATGCTTGATGCCCGCTTTCTCTGAATATCCGTCCCGCCCACTCGAATGGGCCAAACGAAATTAGTCTGTTTGACTGCACCGCGAGACGGATAAGATGGGAATGGAACGTAGTGGCTTCCGGTCTCAGCCACAAGTGTCTAGATAAACAATACTGTAGCAAGAACCTGATATCTTACTGTTTGAAGGCAGCTTCGGATGGTCTTTCCTCCTTAATTAAGTCAGGAAGCAATTAATTGTAAGAAAATAACTCATTAATGAAGTAAAATAGGAGATAAGCGAACACGATTTTATTTTCTCTATTACCGTATATATTTAAATTTCTCCAAAGATAGTTTGCCAATTCAGCGTGAGAGACACGCTGAATTCTGAAAGCAACCAAGGGCCAAAGTCTTAAGAAACTTTTTAAAAGCTACTCTTCGCTCGAGCTTTGCAGTCCTCCCGACCCCCCCCCCCCCCTCCCCCCAAACACACACACACACACACACACACAATCTCCTTCCCTCTTTGCAATCTTTCTCCCAAACTTGCTACGCTTTCAATACTGTTCAGGAGAAAGGGGGGGAGGGGTTTTTCAATCCTACCAGACTGTTGTCAGTGTATACACATTAAAGTAGCATGCCACATGGATTTTTTGCTTGTGTATTTTGAAAGTGTCTTGAGGGCTTTTGACCAGGATTTTGGCGCAAGAACGCCTTCAGTAGGAATCAAAGCTGCCAAGAAAGGTGCAATCAACCGAGTGAGAAGCGAACTTTCGACTCCAATCGCGAAATGACATGGGCATCTTTTTAATCGATGGGCTAAGGGAAGGAAAGGAGTGTTTTAGAGCTTTCCTTTCACTTCCACAACTGTGTGTTCTCCTCGCCCAAGTTTTAACCCTATGGCTAATTTCTCCTTACAATTTCACCCCTGAATCACACATCAAGGTCACGAGAATAAACGAAATGATCACAAGCTAAAAAAGCTCTCGATCGTTACCCAAATTCTCTCTATCGACACCTTGGGAAAATATGCGAGTTACAGTATAGAGAATATGCATACTGATGTTAAGAATGCTCGAATACTTCATTCGCAGTTCCAAACTTACCAAGAATCCTCACGCCCTGTACTAACGCCTAATTGGCACAAATTTTGTTTAGTCATTAACAAATTCTTTTCCGGGGCTTGGTATGAGCAGTAAGTCTTCGACATTCTCCGTGACCCACGATCGAAGTTGATTCAAAGGTAATGCAGAAACCAAGGAACTTTTCCTTCTCTGTCGTCTCAAAAATGTTTTCACATTCAAATTCCACAACAATCTACAACCCATATCAAAGTTTCATGACTTGAAATGCATATCATAGAATTCCATGACTTTCGCCATTTTCCTTGACCCCTTCGAATCCCAATTCTCCAAAGTGAAGTATACTTGTGAAACACGCACTGTCACGACACTTTGCAAGATTTAAAATGCCTAATTTTGGGTCTTTACTTTAGCAAAGACCAGAGATAAACAGGCAAGCAAATCCTTTCTTATCAACATCATTCAAAGATTTATTTGCTAATGTTCACATATATGACAGAACCAGATAACTTTCAAAGTGCTTTGTACAGAAGTGGATTTACTGATGGTGCGGGTTTGAATGGGTACAACTACTGCCTCTACAGATGAACTTGTGTGAATAATCCAAAAGGAAGCACCAATGCTTTGGTTACCTGTACTTAATGATAATTGATAAAGCCTAGACAATAGATGATAGTATAAGAAAGAATTTTTTTCAAAACTATTGATGCAAGCAAGTTTAAAATGTTTCCTCTCAAAAATGTATGTCATCAGTAGTGAAAGTTAACAATAACTGCTCTTTCCTATCTACAGGCCAGCGACTCACTGTGGTTAACTATGAACACATCATAAAACAAAAGGTTTTTTGCTTGTACCATATACTATGGAAAGTAACAAGTGCACCAACTAGTTGTGCAGTCATCGCACAAAGCTATCCATGATATGCCATACTGACACATATTTACAAACAAGGATGTTAAATGTTGATCTCTATCCAGTAAACAAGAAGTGTTCATTGACTCTTGGAGTGAATACAAATTCAAATCAGACCAAGTCCAACAAAGGAAAAATCTCACTACCATTCTGACAAGTTTTAGAACTATGGATTACAAAACAGGAAATGAACCAGTCAGAACTCGTGGAATGAAAAACACCACTTGCAAGTTATGGAATAGTTCTGTTAGAGGCCTTGCAAGAGAACACTTCCAGCCCTTTAAAATAAGGGCCTCAGCAACATTGCTGGCAAGTCTATACATAAAGAGCTCTTTCTCTATTGAGTGGGCTGCTCCATACTGCTAAGATATTTTGCGTCAGTCATCCTCGTCATCGTCATCATCTTCTCGCTTTCTTTTTTCTCCTCTCCTTTCAGCTTCCTCTGTTTCTTCATCATCCTCATCCTCTTCTTCCTCTTCTTCATCTTCTTCTTCTGGGTTGAAGTCTTCACCTTCTTCTTCATCCTAGATTTGACAAAAACAGATGGTTTGCATTCAATGTACACCACCTTACTCAGCCACCCTTGGCCTATGTGTTCACTGGGACTCTAACACCTTTACATTACTTACTTAAGAAATTAAACTTAACACAAACGTCAAAATACTTCTGAAATGAAACACATATGTGGCCCTTCTGAAAAAAGGAACCTTTAAAAATCCTATTAGTAAATGACTCATGTACAAGTAAGAAGGTGTTTACCTCTAAGTTCTCTTTTTGTAAGTAATCAAGACCTGGTTCCTCCTCATCTTCTCCTTCATCTTCTTCTTCATCATCATCTTCATCTTCATCACCCTCTGAGTAAAAAGAGAAAATGAAAACCAGAAATTAAAAAATCTTGTAGCTGTTTCACTGTTTAATCTTCACAGTTGTCATGTAAAGGTTGCCCCCTTGGGTACCTTAACCTGCAAGGAAACTTTTCTCTAAAGCTTACTAAGTATCATCAAGAGGGTTTTGATGCTAAACTCAGTCAAAAAATGGGTGTCACTGTGCCTGGAGGGCACATAAGATACCTTATGAATAAAGAAATTTGTCTAGGAAATCCTTCTAAAAAGAAACGAAGGGCTCTTCTCAATATTCTAGAGACTGAAGATTCTCATATGGAGCATGATGAGATAATACTAAAATTCCGACACAGCAAAATCAAAACAATTGGACCAGTTCTACAATATTTTTTGTACACTGAGAAACTCCAGAACTCTATCTCCTTTACAATGACCGTCTTTCATTTTCCACTTTGTCTTTTCTTGAGTATCTTTTAATGTCTTTAAACGTATTATTTCTTAATGTCTGTATTATTTCCGGTGTAATTTAATTAAGTTAAATATAATTTAGTTGAGGAAAAAATCGACCTGCCTTTATTAGAATCTGCTATTTTCGGGTCAAAGGAATATCTTGTGCACATATATATATATATATATATATATATAAAATAGGAAATGGAATGAAAGTGGAGTTAAGTGAAACTTTTAAACAAATTCTTGTCTTTACCAAAGGAAATGTAAAGAGAAGAGTGAAGAAAATAAGGATACTGAGGTTAAGGGAATTGAGGGTTATAAGGTGAACAGAGGAAAAAGTTGATCCAGCCAATACTATACTCAAATCTCCAGCAAAAATCTTTCAAAGAGCAAAGAGCACAAGGAAATATTAATATTGCATACATGTTTCAGAGCCATACGAGTAACTTGAGTTTTCACCTTGGTCCTTAATTGGGAAAAACAAACATGACTCATGACTGGTATAAACTTTTTTAAGACACTCAAACACCACAAGGTATGTTTGGAATCCATAGTGGAAAAATTAACAAAAGTCCCTATTTCAACCAAATGTTTTAGATTCTTCCCCAAAATTCTTTCTAAATGTCTTTCAAAACCTGCAACTATAGAAGTCAATTTTAGATCCTGTGATTCTGCTCATTATTAGATTTAAAAATAGCAAAACATTTTGAAATTTTACCTTCCCCTTCCACACCTTCTTCATCATCATCACCACTAGAGCCCTCTTCATCATCTACATCATCTTCATCATCTTCCTCTCCTAAACGTCCAGCAGATCAGAGTAGGAGAGAAAAAACGAGAAATTTCCATCATCTGGTTTCACACTATACACTCTAACAGAAGTATTCATCCTCTTCACTATTCTCTTTACATTTCCAACAATACTGATAAGAATTTGTTAGACAAACAGAAGCTTATTAAATTGCTGATCATTTCCTGAGCTGAATATTTGATTCAGGTGTGGTAATGTAAGGAAAAATTAGAAGTCAGTCACCCTCTGCGGTTAAAAGGTTAACGTCCTTTCCTCTTCCCAACAATAACACCTTTCAATTCCAGATGGAAGTTGATGAAATATTACACTGACCTGATCAAATCTTCATTAGTAGGAAATTAATCTTATCCAAATGAGAACTTGGCAATAATAATATGGTACATTGAAAAGGCAGGGGAGATTTTCAGGTGTAAAGCAATTTGATCACCTGTAGAGCAATTTCACAAAGTCTTCTCAGCCATGTGGCAGGTAGCTGGAGTATTCTTAAAAGGTTATTAGAGTTTTCTTACCTTCACCATCCTCATCTTCATCATCTTCATCCCCATCATCATCCTCCTCTCCTTCATCATCTGTCAACATAAACAAATTTAAGATACAATACATGGTTTCCATTAAAAATTAAAATAATAGGAAAATAGTAAAAACAGGAAAATATTCCTCACATCTGAATTAAAAATACTTCATGCCACCAGAATTGAGCCGAAGATATCTTTTTGATGGCCAAAGAGTTCTCTGATCTGTTGTAACTATTGAACAACAGTGACATTGTGGCACCTTACCAGGGCTAAAAATTAACTTAAGCACTTGGCGGCCAGTCGGGCCAGTTTCCTTGAAGTCTTAGTGGCCCATTCCAAAATGAAGTTGCCCCCGATTTCCTCTGGTTTAAAATGAAAAACTTGAATAAACGCCCCATGGCTTTTAACGGATTGTTAATTAAAAGGAAAGAACACAAAAGTCCAGAGTCATGTGGAAATCACAAAATCAAAATGGCGCCTATTTGTGGTGAATGTGGATCACTCGTGAAATCACTGTTAAAACGGCTCAGAATTTCCACTTCAGAACTAAAAATTCACTAAAATGGATGATCTTAAGAGTCCACGCATAGAAACAAAGAGAAAGGTAATCCAATTAAATTACATATTGAGTTCTATTTCTAACTTTGTGCTTCGCATAATTTACATTGCAACATTTCGAAATTCTGTAGCATAGTCGCACATCAGGCATTCAAACCTTAACTTTTGGTGACCCTGGTCAGTTTTAACTCGCCACTGGCGACCATGCAACTGCCAATTTTTAGCCCTGCCTTACTAGCTGACAAGGCCTTTTAAGGGGAGCAAGTTTGTTAATGTTGCATTCTCATTTGTTCCTCTTATGCTAAAAACAATCTCTGTCACATGTTTGCTACAACATGTGACAGTTCAATGCTCTTGGTTCTCAAGTTTTCGAACACAAGCAAAAAGAGAATTAGTACATAAGATGGCTTAGTTTTATACTGGCCAACAAAATTTGAAGTGTCATATTTCCTTCTTCAAAAGATTCACTCTCTGCTTTCCCAAAAGGAAGAGACCTTTGCAGTGCAAGTGCTGAAATAGAACTTAATAAGGACCAAAGAAAACTTGTTTTCTCAGGAAGGCCATCAGAATTGGTGGGCAATTCAACATATACTTGGGGAATATCACTGACACACATTTAGCCAGAGTGATTCTATCTGCCCTATCTATTAATGGAGTATTTCTCTCCTTCTGTGAATAACACAACATCCCCCTGGGCCTTTCCTTCAAGTTCAAAAACAACACAGGCATAAAACAAATGGGAATACAACTCAGTATGAAGTTTACACCGTTCTGACGTCTAATGGCAAAGGATTGTTTCAGAATTAATTTTGAAAAGTTCTCGGGTAAACTTATGGCATTCTCTCGCTTTCACTCTGAAGACATTCGCAATTAAGCGTTAGCCATCAAAAGGCTCTAAAACGAAATCAAATACCATTTGATGTTCAAACGAACGGCTCTGTTAAGAATCAGCCACTCTAAAATATTATAATGGCCCTCAGTTTCCCTGTTTTCTGGAAGGAAATTTGATCCAATTTGCGACGAAAACTGAGAGATTAAACTATCGACGATTGTACGAAAAGTGTACGTGTTCCTACGCCATAAGTCAGCTGAAATGATCGCTTTGGTCGAACGGCGACCAAAACAGAATCCTAAAATAGCTTCGAGCCTCCAAATGCGCGGGAATTTCCATTTACAGCGTGGTACCCGCTCTCGAGTCCATTAATTTTACCACACAGATGAAAGTATGACTTAAATATTCAAGAAACACTCCATAGACGGTTCACATGTAGAGGGGAAACGACATATTCCGTTTATAAGACGAAAATCTACAAAAATCCATTCAATGTGGTGTCTGAAGCTTTCCACTCAATTCTTCTTTATCCGATCGTTGCATATTTTAATGCGCGGCACTCGCCGAACCGCGGGTTCACCTCGCAAACTTGCATTCAGTTCAAAAATATCACTTTAGCGGATGTTAAAAGTAGTTTCGTTTCCCATTAATTAGGTGCCTTCAAGTAGCATAATAATTTAGGAGAAATGGGCACTGTGGCTTTTACCTTCTTCGCCATCCTCTTCTCCGGAGGAATCTGTGTCCTCTGCTTCATTACCGAATCTAGTGGAGAAGGAGAAAGGCAAATTACTGCCAATTTTTCATGCGACCTCTTAACTAGAAATGCACCAAAGCGAACAAGCTAGAGAAGGAAAGTGCAACCATAAATATATTTTGCACCCGCTTCCCTTACTTACCTGTCATAGCCGTCGAGATATTTCAGGGATGGTATCATATTAAATATTTCAGCTCTGTAGTCTTCTATCGTTGTTACTTCGCAGTTAAGTAAATCCAAACTTTTTAAATTTTGTAGTTTTGACTAGTGAGATAAAAAAAATGTGTTAGCGGTAATAGAAAATTACCAACCAGCCAACTGCAAAATATAACAGCTTCATCTTTAATCTTAAGTCCGATAGCATAGTTGATCGGCCCTGGATAGGATGCGACTCGCACACAAATGATAACTCAAACTTTGTACTCACCAACGGTTCTAAAGTTTCGAGATCTTTTATCCTGTTATTGCTAAGACTCAAATGTGCTAATTTCGGAGATCCCTGAAGAGACTGGAGGCCTGACATTATCCTGTTTTCGCCGAGTTCCAGCTGGGAAAAAACAGAGTTGAAAATATGAGAATCTTCAACAGCTTGTGAGGTGCAATGACCGTTCAGAATAGCCCTGCTAAATTGCACCCGCAACAAGCTCCTGATCTCCAAAAAAAAATCTCACTTACCCGAGTAAGATTTGGTAAATTGGGAAAATTTTTCAAATTTGTTAGCCCAACTTTGATCAAAGACAGCCTCTCCAAGTTGACAAATTCATCTGTTAGCCCAACGACGTTGGTAGAATAACAATTATCCAAGATTAGCTCGACAATCTGCAAAACAACAAAAGCACATGGAGAAGGGACGACTCAAAAAATTAGTCGATTTACTACGCTTTTCACTTGCTAATCGAACTAAAGGCTCCTAATTTCCCAAGAAGGAATCCTTAGCCCTCAAAAGACTACCGATTCTACCTCATCTGGCTTTCTTTTGCCACACTCTAAAGCGATCCGTTTTTCCATTCTGGTGTTGTTCGTTGTCGCTGGAGTCGCATTATCCATTGCACCTTCTACAGAATCGAACGAGTTGGTTTGCCTCGCGCCACCGTACAATTTCCCCAGAGGGGGTACAATAGATTGACGCTGCTAAGCTCCAGCGTAGTAGCGAATATTTTGAATCCATGCAAACTTGCTAACGAGAAACGCATCTTTGATCAGGTGTCAAATACTACGCTTTCCTATCCACGAGAGACTTGAAAGGAGTAAAAATGTATATTTTACGCATATTTAAACAAGTCCTAGGGTAAAACAAATCTCATTGCCAGATTCACAGATGAAAATCAAAGCAAGTAAAGCCTTGCACAAATTTACTAGAGGAATCTTGTAGGAAAATAATCTCACTTCTCTGAGTAAAAATGATTCTTAAGAGGAACTAGGATGGAAAACAAAGATGGGAAATCCTGTAAGACGAGGCTCTTCTCATTTGAAACATAACAGGCGACATAATATGCGTTAGAACTCTCACATATCATATTCTCCCAACTTACCCTTTTACGTCACCATTCCGCCAAATGTCAAGTCATGTGACTTGCGAAGCCATCTTGGATGCCTGGGAGGGGAAAATTTACAATATTTTGGTCTACAGTTCTTGTAGAAAGCGAAAAACTGAAAAATTCGATCGCAGAAATAGGAAAAAATACACACCAGGCCCACGACCGAAAAATATCTGGCAGAGAACCGGAAAAACTAACAGAATTCCACCCTCGCCATTGTTTTCCTTCGATGCAAGCCCTTGCGACACGCAATTTCAGACTTTGGCCACCATCCTCCAATTAAGTTGTAGCAAGGCATTTCGCTCTAATGGAGAAATGTTTCTGTGTGTTCAAACTGTTGACTATTAGATTTCTGAGGCGTAATCCAGCCTCTGGGTGTGTCTAGGGAATTTACCTTCGACAATGTCCGTTCGATTTCTTAAAGCCCATCCAGGCGCTAGGAGTTTTAGCGAACATAGCCGCAATTCAGAGAACCCCCTCCAATGATATCCCATAATTTCGCATCTCTCCGAGGCGAATCTTGACCGTCGCGCCCGTCGAAAACATTTTCTTAGGCTCCAGAAAAGCACGTTTCTCGATCAGGTTGGCCCACCTGATACGCTACAACAATGACTGTCCCTTCCAGTCAGTAAAATAAAACACCGGCGGCTGTGAAGTTGAAATGGTGTCAACATTACGCAAGACCGCTAACGTTGTACATCTACGGAGAGTAAGGCATGTTTTAAGTACATTATTTTACAGAAAATTTTATCAGCGTTGAGTATGGAAACGAGGCTCTGCGGCGGATGAAGTTCATATGTTGGTACTTGTTAGTTCTTAGCATGGGCGGTCGTCAGAAGAGAGTACTTCTGATATCAGAAACGAGGACTGGTTATTTTCGATCCGATTCTAGAAACAAGCTCCTTTACCTTCAATTTTGGTGGGGAAGAGATAAATTTCTAATCATTTCAAAACCGACAATTAAACAATCGCGTTAGTTTGAGCCAAAAAAATAAGCTATATCCAGCTTTACAACCTTTCAGTGCCAAAATAAGCCATGGGCCGGTTCCAGTACATTTCATTTTTCTTTGAACTCTTTTCAGGTCTGGCCTTTTTCCTGCCTTCTCTAATTCTCTAGCTTTATATATTTTTTTTTTCTCTCCAACAAATTTGACCACGCCCAAAGGAACCAGACACAGGCGTACGCTGACAGGAACTTCCGCCCCCCTGTGATAAGAGGAGTAAAAGGCAGTTCAAGAAAACCGGTGTGCGTTGAAATCTAGTTAGCAAAGGGTAAAAGAATTTTAAAAAGCCCATTAAGGAAAATTACCGTGTATTTGAGTCAGTGGGGTTTTAAAAATGAGACAAGTTCGAAGGACGAAAAAGTTTGAAGTTTCAATCTAATATTCTTAACATCTTAAAGGCGGGCAGGAGATGGGTTCTGTTGGAAATGGATTCTGTTGTACGGTATATTGCAGCTTAAATATGGGTATTCAGTATATCACTTTCTTTACATAACAAAGCAAAACTTTGGAAAAAAAAAGAAAGAAAACCTCCAAAATCCATGGAAAGGTTGCAGAATTATTTAACGTGGTCGACTATCTGGGCAAAAAGGCGCTTTAAACAGTCGCTAAGCTGCATAAATGATTTACACGGATGGACTCTAATCAATTGTCATGAGTAACGTTAATCTTTACTTTTTGGTAAATATAGTTCTTCCGTTGATAGCCTCAGAGGCGCTCTGACAGTGGGTTACTAAGGGACCCCTAGGGGATGAGGATTTCTTGCGAAATCACATCGTTTTCTGGGGGAATGGGGGAGGGGGGGAGAGAACTGTCGTCACCAACAGAGTATAAAAAGGGACCATAGGAAACTGATTTCCAGTTCATTGCAAGAGAAGGGGATGATAAGAATATTACAGTGCCTTATGGCACATATCCTCAACGAATGTGCCGTTCTTTTCAATCTGGTTAGTGCGAATGAACATAGCATCTAGGCCCAAGGAGCAGGCGCAGAGATTAGAATGATTGCCTCATATGTAACCCAGGGCACTTTATATGTGTATTGTAAAACCTGTGAGAATTTTCCATTAAAAGGAGAAGAATTATATTTTCCTTAAACAAAGTAAAATAAGGCGTGCATGACTTTAAGGCCTTTTAGCAAAAGCGCAAAAAATAAACTTTTTGCAGAATATTGTTCAGTGGAAAATGTTGCATTTGATTTCCATCTGAAATACCTGCGTTTTCGCAGAAATAATAAATGCCCTCAACTTTTACTTCTTGATTGGGTGTAAGATGAGGCGCTTACACAGAAGCTAGGTAAATTTGATATTGAACATGGGGAAATATCCAGGCAAGAGAGAACTTGTGGTCGACAGAAAGGCAACTGGCGGCACTCGCTGAAGTCAGAGTCTGCTCATAAATTCACATAAGTTGAGGCACCGCACATTTCGAAAAACCAAGACAACTAGTGGTTAGTAAGTGAAATTTTCCAACCCCAAAATTAAAAGGCGAAATTGTTTTGGAAAAATAATCACATACGAAACCTACTACAACTTGAAACTATGCCACTCATGATTCCACCAAGTTTCGACATCATCGCAAGCTTCAGAGCTAAAAGACGTGCTCATTAATTCCATTTTATGTTTAAGTGATGCGGAATGTGGATTTAATTGGATAAAAAGTAGCAACCATAGACCGACAAAGTACATTTAGCACAGCCACGTGACCGGGTGCAACTGACCTCGTGGAAAAGGGACTAAGCCAAAGGAGTTACTATTCAACCTGCACCAGACTGAGGGAAAGTTTTTCACTAGCTAAGATAGCGTAAGCGCTGACTCGGATCGACGTCTAGGAGGGGGGCAGGGTGCTTTCGCTAACTAAAGGTCGTTCCAAGCTAGACGTCTCTCGGTCAAAAGTGGCTCTTGGCTTGAGAGCAAGCCCTTATTATTGGTGCCACGGCACACGCGATTCTACGACACAAGCGTTAGAGGCGACAAGAGGCCCGGCCCGGCCTACGCCAACTTTCTCGCGGGCAAAGATACGCTTGTGCCTCACCGCAAAGAACGAGTGCCTGTTCGCAGGCTGAAGCGTTTGAGATGAGCTTGCCTTTTGGTCGAGGGTAAAAAATTCTCCAAAACTTAGAGGAAATGCTTCACGAATTTATTTCTGATCCACGTTGACGCGAGTCTCTAGGCCCTGTTTTCGTCCCACGAACAACGCGTTTGTGCCCATAGCCTGTGTAATCGAAACCCACAGCTACCTCAAAACACAATGAACAAGCTGCTAAGAGTGATATTGATGTGATATCTTAGGAGTTTCGCAAACAAACCTTTGCGAACAGAACGAACATCTTCGCACTAACTAACAAATAAAATAAGGAGATAGAAACAGCCAGACAACACGTTTTTCCCATTCTTTTTTTGGTCATTTTGCTATGTTTTAATCTTTCTGCTGCAGAAAAATTTACAATAAAAAGTCTGTCAGCCTAGATGAGTAGTGACTTCACTGGCCCTTAAAAACAAGCACTTGTGGTCGTTGATCACAACGGAAAAGAAATGAACAGTTTATAAAAGTACTGCAATTACATACATACATACATGAATACATACAGCAATTGACTACTATAAGTACAAGGGCTGTTACCACAGGGATCCAGCTAAGACAAATCAAGATATTTTTGTTGCTAGATGCAATGCTGACATAATCATGAACGAATTAAAAATTTTATTGGAATTGTCTGCCAAATAATTTGGCTCCATAACAATAATAATTTATATCTTTTCTATTTTTCTAATAGTTCAAGAACGGTCAGCCACAATGGAAAATAATCGAAAATGAACGCAACAGAAAGACGCGTGAAAGATGTCTTAAGTCAACGTTAATTGTTTAGAAAATAAAAATCTAAAAAGTTAAGGTGTTCTCTCTGATGTTTCCATGGCAACCCACCATGTCTACTCCCAGGGGCACTGTGACCAATAACAGCAATTGTACAACCCTGATGTCATTTCTGCCTTCAACTCTCGAATTGGCTGGTCAATCAAACCCATCTTATTGCCAAACAGTTCCACTAACTACGTATACATCAACAGCTACAAGTTGCTAATCTAATTGTAACTTCGCCACTCCTTGTCACGAAAACTACTTAGCCTTCACCATAGATCTAAAGTATTCCTGCAAAATACTACAATTCACAACAAAAAAAACCTGCCTTTCCTATTTCAACTACTACTCCTACATTAGGGAACTGTAACAATGAATGAAAATCAAAGATACTTTAATTTTTCTGGGTAAAGCAACTCTAAGTTGGCAATAAGAAGTGTTTTTCTTTTACTGATGGAAAAACAGACGTTACCAAGGTCAAGATAGTTAGAGTTTGATTTAATCCTCTTCATACAATCAAAAAGTCAAGTCCAAAAGAAGATTTTTACTTGTTGGCAACTTACTGACTGCTTTTCCTCTTGATTTACATCTGAAGATATCATAATTAGCAATAATACCAGGAGAAGCAACTCAAGGTTTAACAAAAGTTGTTTACTAGATGTTGATTATCTCTCTAAGGGTCTATATGTAGTTTTCATTGAGGAAATTTTATTACATACCTACTGTAGAAATGTTTCCTTGTTTTTTAGCGACTTTAGTAGTTTTTCTTAAACTATTCATTTAGAATACTACTTTCACCATTATGAACTTTACATGGCTACTTTAGGTTAATAAGTTTGTCTCCTCTCTAACTAAGGAGTATTTTATACTAATTCTTCACACAGGGATGCAGCCAAACCATGTAATTAGTAATTTAATTTCTTGCTTCTACTTTTAAAATGATGAGACACAATTACTTTTCTATTAAGCCTTGCAGTTCATTGGTAAAAATAATGATACTAAATGCCCCAGGACCACAAAGGAAAGAAGGTTGTAGAGTCCATGATGAGATGACAAATCCCAAGACACCTTATCAATAATGAAAAACTAACCTCCTCAGCAATTCAGTTGAAAGAATCATAAAGTGACAAAAGAGAGGCAAAAGAGTTCAAGAAATCCAGGCTGAAGCCAGCTTACCCAGAAAGCAAATACACAAGAAGGGTGTTCAATATGATGAAGATTAGCAGTTAAATTATGGATATCATATACACTTTGTTTATGGCCAATTGAAGGCAAGTAATTAATACTTTTCTCACCAAAATCTCTGGAAGTGAACATTGTAAATATCTTTTCAAAAGCTTGCAAAAGAAAGACTAGTAAAAGAAAACAGTTTATTTTTCCTTTAGGCTAACAATACAAAATTCTTTTGCAGGATGGAACAAACAAGAAATTGTCCCCACTCTTACGAAAAACAACATAACTGTTGATCCAAGAGGCAAAACTAGGGAGAGGGAGGTGGAAGTAGCCTTGGTGAAAACTTAACAGCCAAACTAATGTTTCTTTTTCCTTATTCAAGACACTTTCTAGCTATATATCTAACACTTTGGAAAATATTTCCAGTTGCTTAACTACCTTCAAATTACACAATGTTCAACTGTGTTGAAATATACTGGAAACAATTCACAGTGCTGTACTTGTCTTCACAGCTTGAATCCTAGTTATATTCTCACACAGAAACTTTTGTTTTAGAGTATTTTGTACACAAAAGCACTTCACTTAGAATCAGCTGAAGACAAGTAATCTTAAATAAAGGAATCTCTATTCAACCATTTTGTGATTTTCTACAGTTTTCATTCCCAAGTTGAATCTCTCAAAGCCTACTTGCCTTCTTATCTTTAATTCAGATTATAAGATCTCTTACCAACTCTATTCAAACTAGATTATACTCTTTTAGGTTTAACTGCAGTATTGTATCCTTTACAGCCGCAAATACAAACCGGATATTTTCTGTATCTGTGGCACATGTGAAGTGGGAGTATATTATCTTATCTGAATCTGGATTCAGGTCCACAAACATTTTAAGAATGAACTCACGTGCTGCCTGTGCATCACACTGGGGTCCTGTACAAAACAAAAGTTATTACAAAGATTAACACAGATACATCAGAAAAAGACTTCTTAAATTCATAAAATAAGAAGTTTATCAGTAAAAACCACCAAAGGGGTAAGAGCACCCTGGAGTAAAAAATTTTTTCTCTACTGAAAAATTTTCAAGCCAGTTTTACTTTGATGCACACTCTTTCACGTTACAAGTCCAAAATTACATTGTATGTTAATCAAACTGGTTTGAAAAATATTGAACCACCAAAAACTCTCAACCAAACAAATATGCTTGAAAGGTATGACTTTGGCTTGAAATAGAGAAGATTAACCAAATTGAACAGGGAACAAAAACCTGAAGACATAACTGGGACAACAAAAATCTAGAATGCTTCAAAATTTCACACCAAGATTGAAAAAGGTATTACTGGTGAAACCCACCATAGCACTCTCATTGATTCTGGTACCCATCTGTACTCAGTTGCTTGGAAACAGGAAAACACTTGAAGAAGTATAATGACTTAGACCTTTGTAATGCTACACCCTAGACTGCTGGAGTCCATGATGAACCCTATAAAATCTATATCAGTTGGCCTTTTGGGTCACCCACTTCAAACAATGATGACAACATATTCAGGGGCATTAATTTCAATATTGCTTTTAATCATGTGCATGTACAAGCCAATTTGTTTATGCTCAGCAGGAGTCTCCTTTCTTTTTACACTTCCATTTCTGTCACTGGCATACAACAACCCTACAAGAAAGTATAGCTAAATGACAAATAAAGGAACAGCTTACATACCATCAAATTCAGGGAAATATTCCACCAAATGCGAAAACATAATTTTCTCTTCCAACAAATCCTTCTTGTTTAAAAATAATATGATGGAAGAGTTCTGAAACCATGGGTATGTGATAATAGTACGAAATAACGCTTTGCTTTCCTCCATGCGATTCTGAAAAATTAAAAGAACAAGGTTATTGATTTGAAAAACATTTGAGCACTTTTCAAAATATTGATAAACAGAAGGAACAATATGATACTCCCTTTTAATGAAAAATAATGCAGTTCTGGTCAGTTGAAAATTAGAACAAAGTTTCTCAGTTGACTTCTTGTCCATCAATGTGATATGTGCACAATTCCTTGAGCACAAAGTTTAAGGATGTATGAATTGGAAATTTAAGCTGCAAATCTAGTCACTGAATATTTTTTGCCACCTTGGCAGCCAACATGATCACAGCTTGGAGCATTGATGAAGAGAATTTTCCTTATAAGACTGTTACTGTGCTCACTGTGGTTTACAAGTGAAATTTTGTGGGAAATTCAGAGGTCAAGTAAAAAATTTCCCTAAATCATCACTAATAAATAAATAGAGAACAAGACATTTCTAGCTGACATGTAGCACCATGAAAACTGAATGGTCCATTAAGAAATCAATAGCCCAAACTGATGGAAAATTAACATCATTTGGAATCTGTTGCCTTCAAGGTACAAAGACTTTTTAGTAAGATGAACCAAACTAGTGTAATATCAAGTGAATATCACAAATGTAATCTGAAAAATATTGCAGCTTTGATAGCCCATTAGACTGTATAATTGTCTCAGTTATGTTTTTATTGCAACTCTTGACGTTATCAAAGCATGATGCACAGCACCCATTACTACCTCTGCACTAAAGGCAGAGACCAAAGAAGATAACACTACCTCATTGGCTGATTCTACAAGGACTTGGTCATATTCACTGAGAGCCACAAGAAACATAATTGATGTCACATTCTCAAAGCAGTGAATCCACTTCCTTCTCTCGGACCGCTGACCTCCAACATCAACCATTCTATAAAAATAAGAATAAGTAACTTTTGAGTTTAACAATCTTAATCATGAACTAGCTCTCAGACTGCATTCAATCTTCTGGTGCATTTGACCATAAATAGTCCAAATTTTGCATGTGCATGTAACTGAAAATTGAATATTGGTAAGCAATATCAGAATGCTAGTTGCAAAGAAGCCACAGACTTAGAGTTTAGTCAATATGTTCTTCATTTAATCCAACTCTCAAGAACTGAAACCTTTGCATTTTGCTACCCTTAAGACACCCACTTAGTGAGCATTAACAAGTAGAAATATGCTTCAAGCAAAAAAAGATTTTAACAGCACAATCTTTCTATTTCACTACAAGACAAAAACTTTTTTTGCATTCGACAATTTTTGAAAACCAAATAATTCCATCAGGTGATTGAAACAAAAATATTTGACCCCTATTGGGTGCCAATGCAAAAATACACTCAGACTATATGTGGCTACTGGAATAGCACAATTTTCATAGCATTGGAAATAATTAGAGGTTGTATAATGATGCTACAAGGTAGTGTTGCAGAATATTTGTCTCGCATGCAAAACAGAAAACCTTCTGTATATTTATGAGTACCATGTTCCACAAGATGATTTAAGAATATACTGTCTAATTGACCATCAACCAAAAATTAAATGGTGACAAATAATAATAACAACAATAATTATAATGATAAAAAAGTAATATGATAATAATTTTAAGGGAGCTAACTCAATAGCCTCATGGTTTCCCTATCTGATGGATTCCAACAGTGATTATCTATGCTTCTTTTAATTTTGCCTGTTAATCATAAATAACTTATTTTCTAGCAATTCCATTTTTTTGAGACATATGTCTCATACAAAGAGGCATTTTCTGTCATTCCATGTCTTAAGATGTTACAGCAATCCACCAATCCTCCATTCCTCTGTTCCATCATTCTGTTGAATAACTCAAGGTATCATATTTTGCAGCTTGCTTGCCTTGCAAATTTAGCAGCTCTTTTCAGCATAAGTCACTAATTCAAACAGTAAAATTCTCTCTTTATAAAGAAAACATTTTCCTCAGAGCTTCCATGATGGGCAGATCACATCTACTGAAAAATGTCTGCAAGGAACGTTTTGATTTAAATTATGTGACCATGTGCACCACTGTTTTTCATAGTGTCATGGAAAGAACTGAAAATATTATATCTTTGGATCTGTATAATTTGCTAGTTGTGCCAATATCGCACTACAAAGATAATATGAAACAAACAAAAAGTATCACCAGGAAACATCAGGTCAAAATTGGGTCAAGATCAGAATGCTATTGTCACACTCACTCACTCATCTTGACTACATATGTGGCTTCACCTACTATAGGAGGCAGTAGCCACAAAAACTAATTTTAGATTCATCCTAATCAACAATCAAAAATTACACTTTCACCCAGTTGCTTGAAAGAAATTCCCACCAGCTCACATATTTTCTTTTGCAAGCTCCATAGATGTCTGAAAGACAATCATAGCTTTGAAATTTCTTTAAAAGGGTTGAAGTTGCAGTGATACAAAAAGAAACAGCCCAAACTGCTTTCTCATTTTTACTATGAATTGACAGAATGATGTGATAAAAAACAACAATGATTTTTCACACATGACAGTCAAGACCTCAGGGGGGGTCATAACTATCAAACAGACACAAAATTTAAAAAGGGAACAAACCACTACAGCCAATTGTGATTAAAAAATGAAATTAGAGAGAATACATCTGGTGTTAACATTAATAGTCTATAACCAAACAGAACTGTGAATAACAACAACAACAACAAAATAAGGGAGGCAAGAGGAGGGACAACAGAAAAAAATCACACCACTCAGATCAAGATCCACATCCACTACATATCACTCATAAAAACACATTGTGACAAACATCTTTCAGGCCCGGCCCTCTGATGCAATGTTCTCCTGTAGTACCTCTCATTTCATTTTAAAATCACTTGGAATTTTCTTGAAAATTCAATGGGTAAAAGGAATTGCTCTTCTGATTTGTTAATTTTTTTTTCTATTGTACTAAACATGAGGGAGAACACAGATGACACCCAAAACAATGCCCGAAAATAAATAAAGAAAACATCTGTCCGACAAGAAAAAGGTGAAGCAACCCGCAAAGGGTGCAGGAGAGAGTCATCATCAAAGCTGACTCCTCAAAAGTGCCTCAAAGAAAATCATTGCAATATCATCCATCAACAAAACCAAAGAGATTTTTCACACAGCTCCAAACTCTTTCTTCTTGCTGGAGACAGTTATCTTCTAGGCAAAAATTAAAAATTTCAAAAAGAAGATTGAAAGAAGTAAAAAAGAAATAAAATCACAACAGTGGCAAATTGCAAAAGTAGACCAAACCACTATTTCAAAGAGCTCTCAAGTCTTTCCTATTTCACATATCAATTAAATTCTTAGGAAAGACTTTTGACTTCAAAAAACAGTTTGAAAAGTTGAATACTTGGAGAAATTGACATCATACACCCAGACCAACAACAACAAAAAGCTTGTTGGGGTTAGATACCCTATTATGTGATTCAATATCCTGTTCCTACAGAAAGATCACTGGATGCAAACTTTGCTGATTTAATCAATGGTAACTCTACTAAACAGAGAAAAAACGTTTTGCAAGTTTGTAAAGTAATCTTATTTAAGTTCAATTTAGGTATTAATGATTTCTCCACAAACATTGCAAAAAATTTAACTGTCTCCAGAATAATTCAGATGAGGCAAATGTCATGACTGTTCATTTCTTAACATAAACTAAACCAAGCTTAAGTTTAAAAAAAATTTTCCAGTTTTGAACTAGTTTTCCACAAAATTGTATTCTTGACCACAACAACAGCAGTTTACAGTGAAATCACATGACAAAACCACACCAAAATTTGCAAATCAAATACAACACAGCATTTGCAAGAAACAGCTCGTCTGCTTGAATTATAAATGGAATTCTTTACATACTCAACATTGCAAGAATCAAAGAGTTTATTCAGATAAAGGTTACGGGGGTAATTGAATACATTGTTTCCAAGGAAGAGCTTGCTCAACATATACATCAAGTCAAAATGCAGAGCCACTGTGTACACAAGCAAAGTGAGTGATTGCAAAATTCTACATCCATTGCTACAGGCCAAGTCACAAGTAAACAAAGTGATACAACTGAAATAGTTTGCACAATCTTACTCCAGACCAGCCCATTACCAATGCAAAATATTCTTTGCCTTAACTAAACGTTTTCATTTAATCTTTATGCAGATTCAAGACCCAGAAATGTAAGAGAAAAGTAGGCAACCACATTAACATCCTGTGTGGGGGAAATTTCCTGTTCATTTAAGACGAATTTGCTGGAGAAAAATGAAGGTTCCTTACAAGGAACAAGCCATAAATTAAAATCCGAATAAAGATTAACGGCAATGACACCATCTAGGCCACAACAGGAACATAAAGGCTGGCTACCGTTGCTTAGAAATCAAATAACACTCTTAATAGTTGAAAGGAAAATTAAGCTTACCTAAAAATTATCGTTTCGAGATCAAACGGGTATTCAATGATCCCAGAGGTAGGAGCACGAGCCCGCAGAACGTCTTGTTCTGTCGGAAGGTAATCGGGCCTGGCAAGTCGATCTAAGTCCGTTAGATAACTGAAAGTACAGAGAATAGAATGCAGTAAGAATAAGAGCATATGCTAATAAAATGCACAAGAACGTAAGTCAACTTTGCTGAACGAAGAAGCGACAAAACCGCTAACATGAAAAGACCCCGATGAAACATCAAGTCAATTCAGCGTTTTTCGACGCAATAAAAAGACAGAAACTTTTAAATCGAATTTCTTTGATTGAGGGGTCAAATGGCAGCTTCTGTGGACTAGGTGAATAAAATCGCAGATTCAAGCGTTGTAAATCTGCTACATCGTTGCTCGTCATTAAGCCAACAGACAATTTAGTGCAGAAATTGACAAGCGATCTTTATGCGGACGAATATATCACAAATGATGCACCCAACATTGAATCCATAATGTACCTGAATACTCTGATGTTTCAAAATCAAAGTTACCAGATGAAAAGGCCAGAGCATTCGGACAGCAGTAGTTAATGTTCCGAAACAAAGACCTTGTAGGGGATAATCCAGATGGAATCGGAGAAAATACGAATCTGGCCTGAATATGCCAGCTATGTGTAACAGAACTAAAAATTTATGCAACAATCGTTTAATCGAACTAAAAGTGTGACTGTTCTTGGGCAAAACTGACCATTTCACTTCAAAAACGAGACACCAACATATTCCAAATGACATGCACACAGTGACTTACTATTTCGCAGAGTCGCTAAGTTGGTACTCTCTTCTTCTGTCATAACATTCTTGCATGCCTTGATCGCTCCAGAGAGATCTGGTAGCTATGTAATAGTCGTGTTCGAAGGTAGTAACATTTTTGGGGTCAACCTCTCGCATGGTCTTTGCATGCTCCTGAATAAAAATCGGTGTAAAATGTATAAACATCAAAACAAAAGTCGCACAAAAAAATCAAGTCCATCAATTTCCATTCGCCGGGGAGGCGTTTTCAGAGCGGGTAACTTCTGAAGTAATTGAGCAAAAACACAGTATATGTAATAAACAAGGTCATAAAGTAGTCTAAAATGTAATTCATACCGAATTTGCTGGATTTCTGTACGCTATTTTCAAGGATTCCATCGCTAACGTTAAAGACTGTATGGCAGTTATAACATTCTGATATACCAAAGCCACATAGCCCAGTTTATCTTCATCACTGTATCCCTGCCCGTGAATAATTCTCATCTGCTTTATGAAGGTACTTTTGCCTGATTCTCCAGTTCCTGTGAAAAGAACACATCCCACGTTCAGAAATCTCACTAAGAAAAACATCCCAAACCCACACTTCACCACGGAAACACAATCGCAACCGTGATGAGTGCCTAGATCGATATGGACTCGGAATTGATGCTCCAAAATAAAGCCTTTACACTTTCTTATTCTGTATGCAGGATGAAAAGAAGGTCTTAATTTATTTAGTAGCAGTCAGGATTAAATTTAAGCATTTATACCAAATATGAGAGTGCGCTAACAAAACATGGAGTCGGTTAAAAAAGTCTGGAACAATCGGCCGCTGGATCCTCGTCGATTACTTCACATCTCGCTTAGCCAGCGGAGCAATACTTGGATCGCGTATGTAAAAGTATATCTACACAAGTATATTTAGCATGCGTATGTATATAAATTTCTATATAAATGCATATGTTTTCTATATATATTTTTATCTGTATTTTATCGAGCGAACATTTCCTTGCGACCAGAGTCGAGCAACACAGCGCGGCTGTTCATGCAGATTTTAGGCGGAACACGACCGCTAACTAGAAAAACATATTAAATACTCACCGAGTAAGAGTAGTTTCAGTTCTCTTCTTTGATTCTTTTTATCCTGCCTTAGTTGTTTTTCGATCTCGGCGTTGATTCGCCTGATCTCCTTCTGCTCTTCACTCATACAGCACGTCATCTTGAAAGAACAAATTGCCTTCGATCGTCACAACCTAAGCCAGCGATGGCGTCAAAAGGAACTATAGTTGTCCTTTTCACTACTCGAGCCCCGAATGGAGCTACGAGTCCACTGAAACTACCGAATTTATTCTTCCAAAATGGTGAACCACTCAGTCTTCTAGGGCGTAGGCGAGCTTCGAAAGCTTTTCCCAGCAATCATTGAAAAACGTCCACAAGTGTAACCAATCCAAATAAGGCCAAGGCCTCCATATTTGGAAGGCAATTTTCCTCGCCCCAGACAAAAAGTACCGCATTTTTCCACAAGCTAGTAACGCCTGGCGATATTTGATGCCTTTTTCTTCCGCCATTTTGTCTCTGAAAAATGTCTTTATTTTTTTTCGCGTTGATGTTGGAGAATTGTCTCTAAGAGAGCGATTGGGATGATACTTTAAACTGTTTAATTCATCTCGGCAAGGAGAATGAAAAACAATGCCACGAATAGAAGAGGAACGAACGCAGGAAGGGGTACGGCCATTGTATATTTGCTCCTGTTAGATTTTACTCGTTTTTCGATGGATTCTACTTTCTTTAAATATTTTATTTATTCGAGAATCGTCATTTTTATGGATGTGAACACTGAGATACAAATGTTGAGTAACTTGTTTACAAGCAGCACAGTTCCACTTGTAATCTACGACTAATTTACATAAAATCTCTTTAAGGCTGAGAAAATATTTGTTCCTTTTTTACTGCGTTCAAAATATTTTTGCTAATCAATCATTTCAATATACCCAATGATCATACTGTGAAATTGGCCATGGACTTAATAATCTTGTTTTACTTAAATGTTCTGTCAAGATCACAAAGCTTATGGTGTATTTTGTGAAAGAAGTAGATCTGCTGGGCATCAGCTTGATTTTCTTCATGTTGTGGAAGAGCCACACTAGGATCAACAGTATCAAATCATGTCTGTAAGTCCAGGTTGATTTAAAAGATGTTAGAGGACAAGGTTAAAAATGATACCTACAAGAACCTAGAGGTCAGAAGGCAAAAGTTGAAGGTTCTCCATTGAATGAAGGGCGAAAAATCAAATGTGATTTTTGTTTTGATGAGACAAACACCACTACTCTGGCAAATTAAAACTGCTTACTATCCAAAGTTAGACGAAACAAACCAGTACCTACTTTATTGGCCACTGTGAGTTGAGTATGTTGTTGGTTCTTGTCCTCGCTCTGAGAATTTTTTGTGGAGTTCTTCAGTTTTCTTCCTTTTGCAAAAACTAACTTTCCAAACTACAATTCACCCTAAAGGAGTGAACTAAAAAGTGGCACCTCATAGAAAGTCCACCACTGAATTCTCATTATCATTTTTATTATTAGATACACTGAGGTCCTCTTCACACTCAATTATTACTACAAGTGAATAGGCCATTTTACAGTTGTGTGCTTAGTTGCCAAGCCTTTGATTTGGAGTGAGGCTGAAGGTGACCTTGTTGTGATAGAGACCAGTATCTAGTTAGCATGATAACAAAGTAATTTGCATTTGAAAAGCAGCAAGGTTTGTATCATAACAAGGTCACCTTTAGCCTCATTCCTGTTCAAAGGCTTGGCAACCAAGCTCACAACTGTAAAATGGACTATTTCTAATTGGCAGCCAGTGCTTGGCAGCAGTGAAGAGAATATTATGTGCAATATTATTTTGTGGGGGTGCAAGAAACAGGATTATGGAGAACAAGTGAATTGATCAGAGGGTTCAATGATTTAAAGGTATTATAATTTTTTGCTTCAATTTCAGATAAGTCGAATAGTTTTAAATCTAAAATATTAGAATTAGGGGAAGGAAAGTATCCACAACAACTTTGACAGTAAGATCTGTGCAATTAGATATGAATGCAATGAATTTGGATTAGGTTAGAAAAAATTGAGAGACTGCTTACCTTACAGAACTTGCTACTGGCTCTGCTAGGTATTCTGACATAAAAACAAATCAAAACAAAATAATAGAAACAATCAGGATTTATTTCAAAGAATGTTAGTTGTTATGGTGGATTGTGTTTCTTTTTTCAAAGAACTTGCATGCCCAAATGGATTTGATGGCTCCAGTGAGAAATTTGTTCACAATCTTTTTGTTCATCTGAAACAACAAAATGTCTCAAAATGGTCCTTTCAGCGGAATGTGCATAATTTTGTTGATGTCTGGGTGAAATTGAGACTCGCCCAAAATTTTATTTTTCAGAGGACTAATCTACTGGATGTAATTTTTTAAAATATAATGATAAAAAGATATCAGATTTTTGAGAAAAGAAAAGCTTACAAATGGCAACAACTTTCCACTTAAAAGTATTATTTAAGGTTACATTAACATTAGAGCTCATTAATAACAAGTAATAAAGTGGCTCTTGAATTAAAACACTTCATTTATGAATTGGTTCTTATAAACTGCCTTGGAAATTTTTTCTCAGGCTAGTTAAAACAACTTTCAGGCTAGTACATGATTACATAATAATTTTAATAATTCAAAAACCATTTACGTTAGTCATATCTATTTTTTGTTATTTTGTGTTACAAGTTCATCAGTTACAACTTAATTGTATACACTTAATAAATGAACTTGGTTGTTTTTGGTCATTTGGCAATTGAATTAATTAAGGTAATTCAATTACAATGCTTATCAATAAGTTGTATGAAAAGTTCTGTGAAGCTTAGAAAACTGTGAACACCAGAAATTAAGGTCCAAAATAATTTCTCACCTGGTACCTGTCATGTTGTCCGGTCAATCCTATTTTTGCTCAGGCACAATCCATTTTTAGCCAGACAAGTATCCATTACATTATATCTCATAAAACTCCCCCCCCCCTCCCCCAGCTTAGAGAACAAGTATATATACTGGAAGTACCACTCTTTTATAGTACATGCAGTCTCAAATTTAATACAATAAAAGTGATACAGCTGTATTTCAGACCTAAGCTTAGTTTGTAATTGAGTTCTTCTCTGCACACATAAAAAAGACAGACAACATGTCTGACCATCCAAGGAGTTGGCCAGACATAAACCTATCTTTGACCAGACATTGACCATTGACAGATCATCATTTTGAGTCATGACAAGTATTGGTGGAGTGTTGATTTTTTTAGGAAAAAAAGCAAATCATAAAACTAAACCACAAATGGCAACAATGATTAGCTTGTAAGTTTGAGGTTTGCTTTGTATTGATTGGTAAGTACACAATTGACTTGCCAGAATCAGTTAAAAGTGTTCATGGCCTTTTGATTTTCACAATAAAAAGCTTTTCAATAAGCTGTATGCACAACTGAGTAAATGCAAACTATTGAAAAGTACTCAGCAATTGTCTTGAAAGCATGAAATCCATGTTTGCTACATGGGAGTATAAGACTGGGTGAGTATTGCTGACCCAATTTCCTCTATTTTCATGTCAGTTACTAACAAATGTGAAAGACATGGACAAACCAAAGAAGAGATGGAGAGCAGTTTATGAGATTTACTGTTCTTACTGCCAAGGCTCTATATTGGAGAGACTGGCGAAAACCTCACAACTAGACTGACTGGACACAAGCGGATGACAAGGAAAGGTGATTTCAACTTTCTGACAGCATTGACTTATGAACCCCGCTATTTACTGGGACTATGCACAATGCCTTACCTACAGCACTAACTACTTTTAATGACTGATTCTGGAAAGCTGATTCACTAACTTAGAACAGACTCACCTAAACAGGTGTCAACTACTACTAGCACCATACAACCTGTTTATTCACAATGTTAACATTACAAACAAACCAAATGGACAACCTAACTTTATACCATGCGATTGAAACTGACCAATCATGACCAACTTACAGCACTTGAGTCTTACAGCCAACAAGATAACAGCAAAACTGACCAATCAGTTTATACAAACCAGATCTAGAACATTTGTCTGACAACAATTATTCACATGACTCTGATGATGACATCCGCTCAGGTTGTCAAAATTTCAGACACCATTACCAATAGCAGTCCTTCTCAGGACTACACTCACCTAGACAACCAGACTACACTATCACACTAATTATTCTTGACAATTCCCTCACCTTCCTATTGCCAAAAGTTTTACATTTTTGTCTAATTGTCCCATTACAAAATTGAATCCAATCGCAGATTCTAACTAATTCTAATTGTAAGTTAACTGTTAACTAAAAACTTGGCTTCAAATGGTATGGTAATGTGTTTCCATTAATTAAACCTCTTCAGCTTTATTCTTCTGTATATTTTTCTTTGTCTGGAAAAGGTCTGTGTTGTTTCAATCTGTTGTATGGTTTTGTATTCTTATTTTTTCAGTTTTAATCTGCCAATGTTTTTAAAAAATAAGATTCATCGGCCACATTGGCATTTAACAGACCCAGATGAACAAGAATGTGATACTTATTCTATTATTTATTTTGTCTCTTTTCTCAATTTTGTCTTTAACAGGAGCTATTAGAGAAAAAGACAGCTTCACAAGAAGTGAAATAATATCAGGCAGTCCTTGAACCAAAAGTGCTTTGACTCTAGGAGGAAAATATCAAAAGTGGAGATCAGCAAGAATGAAATTGGCTGACTCTTAGATTTTCAACACACAAGAATACCTTAATTTTATAACTTTGTTCAGATGTATTTCTTTCTTTAGGTTAAAAAAATTTTGGTCACTGATATGATTGAGTACATTTTGTAGAATATGGTCTTTGGAGAGGGGGATAGTTCAAGGTCTTGGAAGATTCTTCCAAGAATCTTGCAAGATCTTTTACAAATGTTGCCTTTGATGTCATTTTCCTCGAATAGTTCTCACCAGAATCTTACGAGAATCTTACAAGATCTTGTTAGATTCTTGTAAGATAATACAAGTCCACAGCAAGATCTTACAAAGATTCATACAAGAATCTTACAAGATCTTTGAAAATTCTTATAAGAATCTTTGCGCAAGAATCTTACAAGATCTTTTAAGGTTCTTGTAAGAATTGTATTTAGGTAAGATATCAAGATGTTTTTAAGAAACTTAATAAAATTCTTTCTAAGTTCTTAATAAAGTTTCCACCTGGGAGCTTCCAAGGGAGACATAACACTTTGTCAGCCTACCTATCTGTCTAGCTCTCTTTGCCTAGCTTTCTGTATGGCTGTCTGTCTACCTGTCTGTGTGTCAACAGGCATATTTGTTTGACTGTCTGTCTTTCTACCTGCCTGCCTGCCTATCTGTCTTTTTGTCTGCCCATCTGTTTGTTGCTCTACCTGTCTGTTTGTCTGCCTGTTATCTGTCTACTTATTTGTCTTTCTGCCTGTTTGTTTGTCTGCTTGTCTGTCCTTCTGCCTGTCTGTCCTTCTGTCTGTCTCCCTGTTTATTTGTTTGTCTGTCTACCTGTTTGTCTCCCTGTTCGTCAAGAGAATATCAACTGGTATTTTCTTGCTTTCCATCTGTCTGCCTGTCTGTCTGGCTGTTTGTTTGTCAGCCTGTCCGTCTTTCTACCCATATGTCTGTCTGCATGCCCATTAGTTAGTCTGCCTGCCTGACTGCATGTCTGTTTATCAGTTTATCTGCCTGCCAGTCAGGCTCTGCATCTTTACTGCATTTCAATGAAGTATCTTTTAATCAAGTATTTATGCTGCGAGGAGCCTGGTGGGTTGAGTGTTAGCCTCCTTCACTTCTGATAAGCCTTTCATTCCTTTAACAATCGACTAGCGTGTTTGGCAAATGAAATTTTAAGTGAAACCTCGAATCTAATTCTTTAGCTCTACTTTTCAACAAGATGATTTCTATGTGGCTCTCCTCTAGTTTATAATTTTAGCTCATTTTCGCTGACTTCAGTTCTACTGGAGTATAATTTTTTCTTAGTCCGATTGCATACGGTTTTAAGATGTTTTCCATTTTTTCGAGACTTTTCGCGTCAGTACACTTAAGTCCATTTAACATTCAGATTAAAAGGGTAAGTTTCGGAAGAAACTGTGGTGCTGCGTGGGTGGAGGAGTATAACAAGACAATTTGGTTTTATCAACTGAGATGATAACATTAATTGGCTACCGTAGAGCTGACGTTTGACCGTTAGCCCTTCATCAGATTGACAGTTACAACGTAGGGCTGACGCTCGAAACGTCAGTTTACACACTCTTTACGGTGGCCAATTTAAGTGATCAACTCAGTTTATAAAATCAAATTCGAAAAAACCTCATTTCACATACAGTTTGTCTCAAGTTTGATTGCATATAAAGATTAGGTTTATTGTCATTTTAGACGAGATATACACGAAACCCACTCCTGAGACATTATGTAACCAAGAGTCAGCTTCATGAAGGTCCTCTCCTTGTATAACCTGACCTAAATGAAAATGTCAAAAGTGCGAAGCCTCAACATCCGATTTTAGATATTTTGAATGAAACTACTATTCCGTGTAGAATTCTGAATTGAAACCCCGCAAAATTCGGCCATTAAGTGGGAGGTAAAGAAGCATTAGCAAAAAAGTAGAAAAGTACGGGAAATCAATTGTAAGGAATTATTTTAAATATCTATGACCAATGCCTGTTGTGAAGTTACGGTCTGCGTGGGTTTTTAAGAGTTCCTGTGTGGCCACAAAGGAAGATGAGTACCGAATAAAAAATTGTTTGTTACTTTTATTTTCCGTTACAAGTGGTACTTTGAGCACGTTTGTACCACGTCCTAGCTTGTAGTGAATAAAACTGGATCAGAATGCAAATAAAATCACGAAATCCTGTAAGTTTAACCCCAGGATCGAGTTTTTGGCCACTGAATTGCGGGAATGCGCAGCGACCGAAATCAGAAACCCACACTTATCCAAAAAACCCTCTCTTTTCCATTTTCGTTTTTTTTTTTTTTAAACAACTCCCTGACGCGTTACGAACTGTTTTGGGAGAGCCAAGAACAAAGAAGGACTTCTTCAGCACGTAGCTTTAAAATTGCAGGCCTAAATTGTCGCTTGCTCCATGTGGCTCGAAGACCTTTGCACTAATACGATTTTCTCTGTTGTTCTCCCAAAAGCTGTTAGTGTTGTATCTTAAATGTATTTGTTGGTTGGAGATAAAAACATGATAAAATATATCCAAAGACTTGAGCGAGCTCGCATGCACTTTTAGTTAACGTTAATTTTCATCGCTCCATGCTATACTAACGCACAAATAACTGAGTAAACATTTTCACTATCAGGACGCAAGTAGTTTTTCGGTCTCTTTTTAAAAATTATCCTATCCACATGCAACGATTTTTAAAATTACCTTCGACAGAAAGGCTTGCACGCGATATCGAGCGAGTGTGGGTGGAAAATTAACGAGTTGTCACCCTTTGTAGTCCTACAATTTACCACAATAAACTGAGGTTAGAGATACGAAGAGTAACCATGTGATATTTAATTTGCTTTTGCCCAATGTACCTCGCACCTTTTCCATCCCATCGAAAAAAACATACCAAGCGAGTCACATAAAAATGTTATGACCCAATTTTTTCAAAACAAAAAGTTAGTAGGCACGCAATTTCTATAAGCAAGGCCCTCTGATTGCTACTTAGGGGGATCTAAAATGGAATAATTAGATAAAGTGTAAGGACTCTCGATGAGATGAATTCAATAATTACATCATCTACGGTTTATTTTTCAAATCTTTTGTGAAGCCCTCTCTTTAACACGGATTAACAGCATAACATAGGTGATCGGGTGTGCAGTCAATAATCACGTACTGCACGATTCTCACATGCTTTATATCTCGAGGAGGTTGTTACACGTTTTCCTTTGTATAAGACTATTGTTTTATTGAAATTGTGAGTTGCCCTTCTGTCTGTGATCTTTTGTCAGGCATTGTTAGTTTGAACGCTCTGATATTCAAGCGGAACTTTCCGTAATCCAGGGATTAGTACCAAGCCTGACGGACTAACGTGACTTGTATTCATTAGCACTCAAGCAACGATTACATCTTTCTTCAGGTTTTCTAACAGTAGCTTAAAAATCTTAAATCTACTCAACCGAGGTGAAAAGTGGATGTCATTCTTTTTATTTAACCAGGGATGAGAGTTTTGACATTGCTGATCTCAACGATATGGCAGACGCGTGAAATATTTGAACCACCCGTCAGCTCACTCGCACTAACAGTTTCGCGGCTGAGTATTGTTTGACCCCATATCGAGGACTGCGATGTTTTCATAGTTCTCTACAAGTTTGCGATAAATGAATTTCAAATCTATATGTTTCCATTCATTTTTTTCCTAGATTAAGTAGTTTTGGAATTTAACAAATGAGTAATCTACAGACGAAGGCTGAAAAAGGGGAGTGACCAATCACTACCGACTTTCAGAAAGAAATGCTTTGTGGTTTTCTACCTTAAAAAGCAAGATCCCTGCATCTTCGACAAGAATAACCTGGTTCATGGCTGTTCCTTCAGTACCTCGGTATAGAAAACAAAATCGTAAAATTTGAAAATATAACAAGGACCTGAAGTGTTCATTCAAGACAATTTTATTCTATTCAGCAAATCTAGTCTTATTTACAAAAACGTTTGTGCCTAAAAAAACTTTTGTAGTCACGTTAAGAAATTATTTCAAGCAAATACTTTTGTACATTTAAGTCTTGCTATATATAGCAAACTTTTACTGTTCATAACTGCCACCATGGCAGCGACTAACAACATCTCCAAAGGTGCTTGCAATTTTCAGCCAGCTTCTTCGGCTGCCAAGTCGTTGGGGGCTTCAACTTCGTTGTTTAATTTCTCTTGCATCAAGCTTTCTTGCTTGTTCTTTTTTTTCCAACGATCGACACGTTGTCCTTCCGTCGATGCAAAGATGGGACGGCTCCTGGCTCAGAGGTGAAGTGGATTTAGTCTGCACTGTTATGGCGTGGAAATGGTGAGGCTGGAAGACTGTGCCTTTTGCTTCGCACGGATAGAGGCTCACTTGAAGAGGCGAGAGTTTCATCCAAAGAAACAGTTCTGCGGCGGATTGGACGTTTGGTTTGGGTCAACTCTTCAGGGTGTGGTCGTTCTCTATCAGCATTTTTCTGTCCATTCCCGTAAACCTGAACTGCGTTGATCTTTTGAGGCAAACTTTCTCTCCGTTCGAGTATCTGCTTCTTGAAATCTTCCTGTCTTCTAACAATTTGCTTCAAAACCATCTTCTTCTCTTTATCAAGCTGTCCTAACACAAGCGACAGGTCTTCTTCTTGCTTGGTGTTCCTATCGATGGCTTTCCTCATATCAGCTGTAGGCAAGAGGTAACGAGGCAACTGGTCCTTCATGTCTGTACACAGAAATACACTGAGTTCGTTCACGATGTGTGAGGTGTTAAGCAATGATACTACAAAGCTTAGTGCTTGCTTTTATATGGTGAAGATGCATTCTTATTAGCGTATTGTTCAGAAACAAAATATAATAATTCAACTCTCCAATGAAAGGTTTTATCGGCGCTTCAGTACTGCATAATCTTTTTGTAGGAAAGCAGGTTTATTAAAAAAAAAAAAGAGCTTATTTATGTCGTAAAAGATGATGGAAATGTTGTCACAGATGACTATCAGATACCTTTTCCGCAAGCAGGAAATTGGTCAAAATAAAGCGGTGGAAATTACACTAGAATGACCCTCGACGTATATGTAGTTATATGATTAATTTTCAATGTTATTATCACTAATCTCATTAGCTTTTCCTTTGTATTATAAAACCCCTACTTACTGGAAGCAAGCAAATTTAGTGCTGTTTTAAATATACTGCACAATAACTTTGCATGATTTTGTTAACTTAAACTCACTACCTACCAAACTGAACCGTTAATATTCCTCCCTGTGACCTGTGCGGCATTTTCGATGAAATATTACTGATTATCGAACTACGTATTCAAACGAACAATAACTGACCTCAAACAAAGTCACTTTGACAAATTGTGATGGATGGCATTGTGAATGGCTTAGGAATCTAAATTGGAACTGTCTAGATGCGAGCATAA